GTTCCACTGCAGAAATGAATTCTGCCTGCCCCTGTGCCCACAGAGCATGGGTGCACCCGACTGCTGCTGGGGTGAGCTTGAATGGGGTGAGAAGGAACCAAACCCACCAAAGGGCTTTGCCTCTCTGGCAACAGTTGTCTCAAGCCCTACCAGCTTTGCTCTGAGCCATGATGTCTCATGGCGGTTCTCAGCACGCAGGAGAGCCATGCCCACGTGTGAACTGCTGCAGCTCCCCAGTCCTCCCAGTGCAGCACTGACACCCCAGGGCAGGACAATGCCAAGGGGTGCAGCATGGCAGCGATTGCCCCAGAGCTGCACCGCAGCTGTTGGCTGAGTCCCTAAAACAAAACAAAACAAGATGAAGCAGCAGAGCTCAGCCCTTGGCTCATTGTAGGCTGGTGGGGATCAGTCCCTAAGGGTTGGCCCCAGAAGTCCCCCCACAACCCCATCCACTGCCATGGCACAGACACAAGCTGTGCTCTCCTTACCTCCGGCTTTATTTGCAGAGGGAATTAAGGTCCTGCTGGGAAATCTTCCCCAGTGCTCTGATAGCTGCCTGCATAGCCGGCTCTAAATGGCTTTTTGTAAATGAATGATCAGGATTAACGAGGTTCCCCCAGCACAGTTTACTTAGTGCTGCCGTTGTGGATGGGGATGGGGTGCAGAACCCCTCCTGCAGCCAAGCTCAGGGACCACCACAGCGTCCTGTCTCACATAGCAAAGCCCTTCAGTTCTCGATCTAAGGAGGAGAGGAGGTTCTGGGCCAGGTCTGGGGCAGTGCACACTATGAGCATCAGTCCTGGCACGGACTGACGGTGCTGTATTTCATGCTTTGGGGCCAGGATGGGGACGACGCTCATTTTCTCCCTACGCCGCGTTGCTGGGAAAGGCGGGGGGTGTTTGCCATCTGGGTCTGCAGCCCCGCACACGATGGGGCTGAGGAGGAGGTGTGGGGCAGCAGCCAGAACCATCCGCACAACTGGAATGTGTTCTGTGACCCCTAACAGCCACCCGGCAGGAGGAGGGCACAGTGATCAGTGGAGTCCGAGGAGCCCCGTGCCCGGGGATCCCCTGCATTGCCCTCATGGGGTTCTGCCTCCACTCACTGTGCTGTGGGCTTTGCAGACGCCTTACCCCCGACCTTTGGCTGTTTGCACATTCCTGCCTGTTAATGTGTCTCCTAACCAAAAGCTACTGCGACAGAGCATGGCATCCCAGTGCTGCTCTCCTCATTCCCTGGCTGGAAATCAACACCTACACCCCAGCAGCCACCTCACTGCACCCCAACATCCCATCCCCTCAGAACAGGGGGGCTCCCCATGCAGATGCAAGCTGCCAGTGCTGGCTCTGCCCAAAGAAACCGAGTGCTGTTTGGGAGCAGAGCCATGGCTCCTCCTGGCTGCCAGGCTGGCACGCCTCCCACCAGCACCACGCCAGGCCAAATTCTTTGTGATTCCTGGGTTAACACCTGCTGCTCGTAATGCTGGTGCCCTCCCAACCCCATGCATGGGATAGGAGCATCCCATTGGACCCACGCCCCCACGTTAAGCCCACTTGTGACTCCTGGCTATTCAGACCCCATGCACCCGCAGGTGAGCAGGGCCTGCAGAGCTGCACCCTGCGGGGCACTCCTTCCCCAAACAGGTGGTGGGGACAAAGCTTCCAACGCCCCAGGGCTGGATGTTCCTCTACTTTCCTGCTGCAACAGTGTGGGTCAGCTTGGAGGACCCCCCACACCCACCTTGGGCATGCTTGGAGGAGGAGGAGGAGGAAGGGGCACAGCCCTACGTCTCCTTGTGACAGCCGTGACGCAGGGACCATTGCCTGCAGTCAGGGGAGTGCTGGACAAGCCTCAGCCTGCCCCATTGTGCCAGCCCTGTCGTGGGGAACGGCTGCTGGCAATGGCCCACTGAACCCAACCGGGCATCCCTGGGGCACAGAGCGATGCAGGGAGCTGTGCTGTGCTGTGCTGTGCTGGGGTGGTGCCAGGGTGCAGGAGGGGTGGCTGCACCCCTTGTGCAAGATCTAAAAATATGGATGAAAAGATGAGGATGTGTGTAAAAGGGCTGCAAGACCACGTGCGTGGCAAAGCGCTGCCCAAGATCAGCTTTGGGGTGCAAAAGCTCCCAGCGCAGCCCATGACCTGCAAAACCACAAAGGCACCTAAAGCAGCTTCACAGAGGAGCAGGGATGGGGGGCAAGGCAGGGCGTGCTGGGAATGCTGGGGGGTGGCACTGCTGTCCCCTCTGTGCACAGCCTGGCACGTGGTCAGCTTCAGGTCCAAAATCACAGCTTCAGTTGCCCCATTGTGGCACTCACCCCCACTGGGCAGGTGCTGCTGGTCCCACAGGCTTCAGCTGGAAGAGCAGACGGGGGGCTTTGCCCCTTCCCTGTTTTCAGAGCTGCATTTCCCAGAGCCCTCCTGACCCCACAGAGCTCCCAACCCAGGGCTGGGAAGCCTGGAGCAGGAGTGGGTCCATATCCAGCCCAAACCCTCCAAGTATAACCACTGAGGACCTAGCACAGCTTTCCCATCATTCTTCCCCTGCAGGCTTTGCTCTGACAGCTCCATCCCTTTGGGTGTAAACCCATCCCAAATCAGGAGCGCAGGAACCCCCAAAGCCATCCCCTGGCCCTGCTGCTCTCTGCATCCTCCCTCCTGCCCCATGCCATCCCCACCCCATCGCTGCAGGGTCCTGCCAGCTCTCACCCACCTAAGCCCCTAGGTTTTCCCAAACATTTGTTTTCCCAAACTTTGGAGGTTCTCTCATTGCTATGCAATGCGCGTCCATCCCCTGCCCTCCTCCATCCTGCCTCCCCCTTCTCCCCGCACCGCTCCAACCCATCCCAGCCTGGGATCCTAAAACAGGCTGATTTTTTATTTTACTCCTCTAGGAGGAAGAAATAATAATAATAATAATAATAATAAAACCCAATCTGGGAGAAGGGAAGGACCCTGTGAGCTGTGACCTCCTCCAAACCCCCAGCACCGAACCCGGAGAAGGAAACAAAAGGCGGTGGGATTTGCATTTCCACACAGCGCAGAGATGGCCCCAACTTGGGGCTGTTTATTCTAGGCGTAGATTTTCAATATTTGGGATGATTAGCAAGTGAAAGCCGGCTGTTGCCAGCATGGCTCCGTGCCAGCGCCGCGCTCAATGGAGGAGAAAGAAAGACACAAGAAAAGCAGAGAAAAGAAGGGGCTGTGTGTATGTTTCCCCTTCTCTGCAAAGCAGAGATTGGGTTGAGGTGTCGTCGTTTGCCCGTGGGGTGGATGATGGATGAGGGGCGTTGCAGGGGAAGAAGAGAAACCACCGATAGAGGCTTTATGGCTGCGGGTTGAACAACCCAAAGGTTATGGGGCAGAGCAGGGAGTGGGGCACTTCCCATCTATATGGCATGCCCAGGCAGGTCGGTGCCACCCGCGGGCAGGAGCACCGTGTCCCCATCCCATGGCTGACACCCAAACCCCAAAACCACCCCTTGGGTGGGAGGGGAAAACCCATGAGATCCACGTCCAAGTTTGCGGCGCTGCTTTCAGGAGCTGAACAAAACGGGGTTGTTTGGGGCCTCTCCTGGTGCCTGCTTTATGCTCACCCTTTTTCCTGGCTGGCAGGAATGCTGGCTGCTGGCAGTGCCTGTATGGGGTGGGTGCCCGGGGCACTGCTTTTTGCAGGGGGCGAAGCAGAAACGTGGGCTTTTCGCCAGCAAAAGAAGCAGTGAACCATAGGAGCGAGGGGCTGCTGGCTTTTCCCAGCCCTGCTAATAACACTCTTAAAAAGGAGAAATAGAGAGCAGAGCCCACGTGCTGACAATAGGGAGCGGGGCAGGAGGAGATGCGCTATTGAGATTTCCAGCCATAGAATCGTGGAAGGTTTTTTCCAGCCTGTGGGATCCCACCTCCCCCAGCCCAACCATCAGCATGACCAAATCCCAGTGCTAACGCAGGTCCTTCAGTCAAAGAGATCCTCGTATCTCTTTAACACCCCCACAGTGGTTCTCCACCACCACCTCCCATCCCATCCCATCCCATCCCATCCCATCCCATCCCATCCCATCCCATCCCCTCATTTCTCCTTTGGGGGCTCATGCTCCCCAGGCCAAAAGGAGACCCAAGCCCTGCCTCACCAACTCAATCGCACCCTGCCCTCTCAGCACTAAGCAGGACCACCTCCAGCAGTGAGCCCAGCCCTTCTTTTGGGCTAAGATTGCCTAGATTGAGAGCAGCTGTGGTTGTGAGCACCTGCTGCTGCTGCTGCTGCTGCGCTGCCCATCCAGTCCATAAGGCACAGGGGCTGGGATGTCCTGGAGCAGGTCCAGCTGAGGTTCTGAGCCCCAGTGAGGGTCTGGAGGGGACATTGCTGCCTTAGGGGTACTCAAAGGTGAGCAGAAGCCTCTCTTTCTCCCACCGTCCCATTATACAGGTGTGGGTCCCCCCAGTCCGTCCACCCCAACACTGAGCTCCATGTCCCAGCCCCCCACCCTCCCCACACAGACCCCCACACCAATGCTTGCTTTGCAGCCGCTGCTTTGCTTTGCTGCTCTTGCAGAGCCTGAGCTGCTCCTCGGTGTAATTGGCCCCACGAGGGTTTGTCTATTCCTGCAGAGCTGTGCAGCTCCTCTCACCACCCCGCACCCAGGAGGGCTCGCAACCTGTTTGTGTTCCTATGAGAAGAAACAGGGACAACCACCCCCCAGGAGCAGAGAAGGACACACCAGAGCTTGGGAGCAGCTCCCAGTGTCCCCAAGACAGCAGGGCCCCCTGATGTGAAAGTTGTGCCATGCATGAGGTTTGGGCCTCAGTTTTCCTATGGGGGATTGCTGAACCCCCATAGGGCTGGAGAGCAGGACTGGGATGGTGAGATACTGAGCCCCACGTGGGAGAGGCTCAGACACAGCCAGGCAGTGCTGGAAGGAAACAAGGAACCAAAAGTCTTTTTTTTTTTCTTCTTTTTTCCCCATTTTTTCTTTTCCTTTTTAATTTGTAAATAACTCTCCATGAAAAAGGTTATAATTGCACATGTATCTTTGCATTCATTCGCCACAACCCAGGAAAATACAAAAACAACAGATGAAAAGGAGCATCACCCATACAAGTACATACATCTCCACCAGCCCCAAGGCTGTGTGGGCTTCAGCTCCTGGCCCAGCCCCACTGAAGCTGTGGGGTATGGAAGCCTTGGTGCCCGACCCCCCCGTTGCCCATTGCAAATTAAACCAAGGCCATTTCTCGTTGTATTTTTTAAGGCTGGTTTATTGACTCTAGTGCTACAGCTACACTCCTGCTATGTTACTCACAACAACAATCCTAAGAGCTTCTGCAACCAAAAAAGAAAACCTTTACAATCTCCCATTTCTTTTTTTTTCTGCGAGTCTAAGACACACAGCACTGGTACTACAGCTTTTCCTTACTCCTACACAGCAGCTACATCACCCAAACCACCCATGGGGAAGAGGAGCAGAGGAATCCAGGAGCTTTGGGTCAAGTTTCGGCACGGTTTGGCTGCAGGAACGGTGCTGACATTGACACAGAGTTGGGTGACCCAATGCTGATCAAAGCCACCGTGCAGGTCTTGGTTTGCAGAACAACTAACAGAAGCCAAAGTACAAAACAACCCCCAACCTACATTTCCCCTACCCCACTCTGCAAAGAAGTCCTAATGCTAAAAATATAGGTTTCTTTGAATATATAATATATAATAGATTATATAAAAACACCTAAAGAGGCAGACTGAATTTACGGATCTTTCCTTCTTCCCCAGGCACAAGTCAGGAGGGAGGTTGAACTCGGAGAATCCAGAGGGGACTCTATTTGCCTGCTAACTAATTAGCTACACCTACAAATGAACCCAGACAGAAAGAGAGAGAAGAACAGAGAGAAGAAGGAGAGAGAAGATTGCACGTCGTCTACGGAGTCCGAAGCCACCAGGAATCTTGTCTGTTGGTTCTGTAGAGGAGGACTGTATGCCGTGTCCATTTCCATGCAAAGAAAAGTGGTAATTTACATTTTGTTTCTTAAAAAGTAAAAAAATAAGTACTGTTCTATCTCTTCTCTTGAGGAAACTCGTGGACCTCAGACTTCTGGTGTGTCCTTTGAAGATATTTCAAGCAATTTTTGTGTTACTGTGTTCTCCCCATTGGTATGTCTATGAATAACCCTACCACGAAGCTGATCAAGCTGCTGGGGGAGACTGTCCATAGCAAGTATTGTCCATTGCAAGTTCCAGCAGCACAAAGGGAGCATCCTCTCAAAGCCCCGTGGGTTTGGTTCGGTCCTTTGCTTATAGAAAGGCTCCCGCAGCGCTCCACTCATTGACGTCCGCAGGCAGCGAGGCGTCACCGAGCTCAAAGAGCTGCTCCATGCTGACGGAGCCGGACAGGAAATCATTGCCATCTTCATCCCAGGGGTGCTGCAGGAAGGAGGTGGCCATGAAGGTCTCGTCAAAGTCCAGGTTGTTGGGGTTGGGCTCGGTGAGGGGCTGCTCGGACCCGGCCATGCACCACTCCTGCGGATTGTCGCGATATCCATGGCCCGCCAGGTCAACCTCGCGCTCAATGGGGCTGATGGGCGGCGTGAGCTCCAGCTCCTCAAACGTGGCAAAATCTCCATTGAGGTTGGTGTCGAAGACGACCTCCCAGTCGAAGTTGCCCTTCAGGGAGCCCAGCTCGGTCTGCTCCTCCTGGGTGAGCAGGGCTGTGTTGAGCAGCCGGGCCGCCTTGGCTGTGCGTTTGGGTAAGGGCTGCTTGCGCTTGCGGCCGCTCTTCCCATCCCAGCTCTGCTCGCCGGTGACCTCTTCAAACTCCTTCAGCAGCTGCTGGGACTCCGTGTTGACGTTGAGGACGTTGCCGTTGGCACGGCTGGAAGGCGCCGGCCCGGTGACGCCGCACGCTTGGTGCTGGGCCCTGTTGGTGAAGGCTGGGTGGATCTGCACCGGGGGCATCCTCCGCTTCTTGAAAGCCCCGTTCATCAGCCGGTCGGCGTACTGAGGGTCGATCTTCCAGAAGCCGCCTTTCCCCGGCTCGTCCTTCTCACGGGGCACTTTGATGAAGCACTTGTTCAAGGAAAGGTTGTGTCGGATGGAGTTCTACACCCAAAAGAAAAAAGAGAGAGGTTGAACGTTGCTTCCTGCATGGCTACGCGTCATCAGCTGGGATCCTGGGGGGAAGCAAGGCAGAAATGATGCTGTCACGTCATCCAGACCATAAGCCCAACAGCCCCTTGGGCTTCCAGTGTCATTTCCCTTCCTCCCAGCCAACCAAGAAGCAGGAGAAGACAAGGGTTTGAACCAGAACTTGCCAGACATCGGGAAGCATTTGGGAAAATCTCCTCGGCTGTGAAGTGGGGCCACAGGGTTTGAGCACTGGGAGAAACAGGCCAGACCCACCCTAGGAGCTTTAGTTCTGCACAGAGGGTGAGGAGGGACTCACACCCATGGCCCTATTTCAAATGGGGCATTTCAACCCACAGCAATGCATGGCAGCATCATGGGGTTGGCATCATCCATCCCTGTACCCCCAAAGGTCATCTGTGCCAATTGCTAGGGCAAGGGGAGGTGGGCAAAGCTATCCCAGGCTATCTGCCCCAAGAGGTGCCTCCTGGCCCAGGATGTGTGAAATCACCACATCTTCATCAGCCACAGCTCAAAGCAGCTGGAAAATAAAAAGAAAAAAAGAAAAAGAGGAGTTTCTGCTCCTGTTGAGCTGTTCTGAAGCCCTGAATGTGCCTAGAGTGATGTGAATAATCAGAAAGGAAACTCAGTTATCGGGTAAATAACACAGCGTTGAGCTCCACAAAGCCAAGACTGTATTAAGAGATTGGATATGGTAGAGGGCTTTTTTTTTTTTTTTTTTTTTTTTTTTTTTTTTTTTAATGTTGCCTGGATATCTTTATGCTTATTCATCCATAATCCGTAGTGCCGAGTAGGAAAAACAAGGCTTGAATGCTCAGAGCTGTTGAAAAACACACACACACACATAGGCACACACACAACAAAACCCAGTGCTGGGCTGGAGCTCCTTGGGCGCGCTGGCTCCCCTCCAAAGCACTCAGCTCCCACAGGAATAGATCCATCTCCCCCCGGAGTACGGGTGGGATGACCTTTCGAGGCTGTCTGCTCATAGGGGAGTTGGGGTAGGGGAGGAGAAAACGGCCAGGAAAAGAAAGAAAGGGGGGAAAAAAAGAGAAAGAAAGGAAGAGGGGAAAAAAGAGAAGGGGGGGGGGAAGAAAGGGGAAAAGAGGATAAAAAGGGAAAGGGGGCAAAAAAAGAAAGAGGAAGAAGGAAGAAAAAAGGGAAACAAAGAGAATGGAAGAAGAAAAAGAGAGAAAGGGAGGGAAAAAAAAGGAAAAAAAAAATAAAGAAGTGGAAAAAAAAAATAAAGAAGGGGAATCACAGACATCCCCGCAAACATTCCAGGCTGCAGAGATTCCAAGTTTACCATTTAATGACATTTTACAAGGGTCAGAGCTTTGTGGGCTGAATTCCGGGCTCCCCATCTCCCCTCCCCATCCCACATCTCATTCAGGCCGGGCCACCCCTCGTTACATGGACATATTTATCATTCCTCCCTGCCACAATCCTGCAAACCCCCCGCATGTCTGCGGGGAAGGATTGAAAACCCTTCTTTCTTTCTTTCTTTTTTTTAATAAACACATTTAATTAAAACCACGGTGATTAGCCAGCCAGGAGCTTGCAGGGCGAAGTCAACATGCTGGCATGGTGCTGCTCCACCCCAAAAGACCCCCACCAGCAATGCACACTGCCCCAATGTTCCCATCTGCCAGAGCTGTGCTGCTCTATGGGGTGGCCCCATAAGGAGGGTGCAGGGAGGATCTGGGGGGTCCCAGGTGCTGTCCTCACCAGGAGGATGCAGGTGTTGTGCAATCCTGGAGGATAAGGAGTTCCCTGCCCTGGAATGGGCTTTGGGAGCTGCTGGAGATGTGGGCAGGGGGCAGCCTGGGGGGGTTTGCAGTGTCTTTGCCCTGTGCTGTAGATTGGGTGTGGGAATTCTTTGGGATCTGTGGAGGTCCTCCCTGCCCTGCCGCATCCTGAAAGCCTCAACGTGACCTTGCATGGAGGGCACAGAGATGGAGGGGCTGGGAAAAACCCCCAGGTTCAAGCTGTGCATAGAACTGCCGAGGGCTGTCCCCTACCTCTGAGGATGGGTTCATTTGAGATATGGGACAGCCCAGCCTCTCTCTGAGGCTTCACATTTCATCACAGCGATGGAGTCTCCTTGGCCTCTCCAAGAGAAGCAACCTCCCCTCTGCCCTGCTCGCAGACCTGCAGCGTTTCTGCTCTGAGCCTCCCCAAAGGGGGATTTATCCAACAACGTGCAGCATCACCCCGTGAGCCCACCCCATCCCTCTCCTCAGCACTCAGAGCCTTCATTTGGGGGTTTCACACACTGAGCTCTAAGGGGGGCTGCAGGAAGGTGGAGCTGAGGACAGAGACATCCACATGCCAGGGCCAAGCATGCACCTCCCCGCTCCTAAAATGGCCCTGGGCTCTCCCCTGTAATGGCTCCTTCCCTCCGCCATCCCTGCACACTCAATCCCTGTCCCTTCATCCTTCCTCCCTCTCCCTTCTCAGTACCTCCATCCCTGCGCACACCACAGCAAACCACAAACCCCACAGGAACCAACCCCCCTCCACCCGACGGCGCATCCCCCCGCATCCCAAACCCTCAGAGCCCAAAGCACCCACCTGCCAGGTGGGGTCGGCGTGTCGGAAGTAGCAGAAGTTATCAGTAATCCATTTGTAGATGGCAGAGAGGGTGATTTTGGTCTTCTTGCTGGCTTCCATCGCCATGCAGATAAGAGTGGCATAGGAGTAGGGAGGCTTGACGTGCGGGTTGGTTTTGTAGTCGATGTCCTCGGGTGGCTGTGCGTGCAAACCCGGGTGTGCCGACCTCGAGGTGGAGGAGGAGGTGGGTTTGCCGGGGGTGTGGGGCATCCCCATACACGCCGGGTCGGCAGCCAGGGGTGAGCATGGAGCGGCGAAGCCGGGGATGTGGTGGCAATCGTGAGGATCGGGGCCGCTGGGGCACGAGGAGGATTTGCCCACGCTGGCGTTGATGATGGAGAACTCCTGCAGCCACTGCAGGCTGGTCAGGCTGTCGTCCAAGTTGCTCGAGTCCCCCATGCTGCCCTGCTGCCCCTCGGCCGCCCGCAGGCTCAGCCAGCCCTCAGCCATGCCTGGGCGCTGCGGCAGCTCCAGCGTCCACGGGGAGCAGCGCCGGGAGGGGACGGGGACGGACCTGCAATGACATCGGGGAGGGAAAAGGGGGTTGGGCCGGGTCAGTTTCCCCGAGGTGCAGCTGCTCTCGGCAACCCAAACCCCCAAAACGACCGGTAAGAAGCTGAGCCTACCCCAGAGCGAGCTGATGGGTTCAAGCTTCAGTCGTTCTTGCTGAGTTGCTGTTCAGCCCCCAGCGTGGCCATGAAGCTGTCACCCAATGCCTCCCGGTGTCACCCGGTGAAGGGACGGCCCCTGAGCCGGCCTGGGCACTGGCAGCCCTTGGGCGGCAGCCGTTGGGCTGTGGGTTCTACCATTCAAATAACGCAGCCCCCAACAGTCAGGGGTTGGGGGGGGAGGGGGGGGGAAGGCAGAAAACCCTTTGCCCCGCTGCTCAAAAAGGAGCAAACCCCCCAAAATGGGCTCAGCACAGCGAGAGCCCTTCCAGCTCTCAGCTCCTATCACCTCTGCCGGCTACAGCCAGGAGTGGGGAGATAACAGAAATGAACGACCCCCTCCCATCCCCCGCTCCGTGCGCCAACCGTGCAGCCCCACGGCCGATGTCCCCATCCGAGCCGCCCCGTCGCGCCCTCACCGCCCCGTCCCACCGCGCTGCCCCTTACCCCGTCCCAGCGACGTGCCCCGGCTCCTAAAGTTCACGGGAGAGCAGGAAGCTTCTGGAAACACCAACCAGGAAAAAAATAACGGATAACAAAACAAAAAACCCCACGCACACAAACCCCCCGGCCTCGGGCTCCGCTTTCCCCCCCTTTAGGGACGAGTTGTGCCCCCGGCGCTGCCCGCCCCGCCGCCGTGATTTGCCGGCAGCGCAGCGCCCGCCATTAAGTAGCGGCTCCGCAAGGCTTCCCGTGTTGCCACGGCGACGCCCCGCCCCGTAAACAGCTTCGCGCTCTCTGATTGGCTGCCGCGTCACCATGGCGAGGAGCTGTTACCCGCCGCTTCGCCCCGCGGTTGGGGGCTGGAGGGGCGGGCGGGGAGTCGGGCGTCGCGTTGGTCCGAATCAGCTCCGTCCAGACCGGGAGAGCGGAGCTGGAAAGAAGCAGCGGGGAAAGGCTTGGGGTTACAGCCACTGAGCCCCGGGATACCGCCCGCCCTCACACAGCGACTGCGGACACTGCGATGGACGTAAGATACCCTTTATTAAACGTACTCTTCAAATCCATAACATGCTGGAAGCAGAGTCGGAAGCAGCAATCTGGTTGTTTTCTTTCTTAAATCCCTGATGGGTGGAGGAGTGGGGGAAGGAGGGCTGCCCTCACCCACACCACGGGGCTGCAGCCAGAAAACCCCACTGCTCACCTGCCAGGACCCTCCGGAGCAACGGCTGCCTCCCCATAGTCACACACAGCTCTGAGCTGGCTGCGTTGGGATGCTGAAGTCCCCAAAGGTGTGTGGTTGAAGCCCTACACCCCTCTGGGCCCTCCTTGCCCATTGAGCAGAACCCACGTGTGCAGCCCAACGCTGGCTGCAGGGATGGCGATGGAGGGCTGGGGGCAGCTCCCCTCCCCTCTGCCCATCCCTGCTATTCCATTATGTGATGTTAAGAGCAGTGCAGGGCGACTGGGTGACGATTTTGGCACTTGTTCCAGAGAGAGGACACAGCCCCGAGCTCTGAGCTCGTGGTGTGGTGGAAGACAGTGAAGATAAACTGGTGATGTCCCAAGGTGTTGTCCCCATCCCTGGGCACAAGCCACCCTGCGGGAACCCAGACGCTGCCCATGAGGAGAGAGGGGATGGGGATGGGGGGGGGGAGCTCCATCGCCACCATTGGGACATCCCATGGCACGGCACAGGGATGTGTCAGCATCCCGGGGGGGTCCAGCCTCCCACCACAGTCACCAGAGTGAACCTTGGCTGCTAATGCTGACACTTGTCCTTAACACACAACCGTGGACACTTTCCTGCCATCTGGCTATGCCCCAAGACCCCACATGGGGCAGGAGGAGGATCCCAGCCCAACCTTGGTGTGTAAAGGGGAAGGGAAGGTGCCGATGGAGGGCTCTGAGGTGACACAGCAGCCAGCCATCCTGCAGTGGGAGACAGGGAGGAAAATTCGAGGTTACCATCACATTCCAATGGCTGAAGGTGGAGGTGGCAGTGCCTGGGACCCTCCGTGTATGGCAGGGGGCTGCGAGTCCCCCAGGCTGAGCCCACCCATGGGCAGGGCTCCCATGGCTGCTGCCTGCTCCGGGTGGCTGATGCCAGAGGGGAGGGCACGAGAGCCACACATTGGTGTTGGCTGCCTCTGGGCCTGGGAGAGAAAACAGGGGGTTAGAGGCTGATCACCTGGAGCTACACCCCAACACCCCCAGGGGAGCGGAGGCCCTCTGTGCTGGGGGACATGGTGCTGCCAATGTGGGCAGTTTAGTTGGAAACCCCAAATCTTTGTTCCCATGCTAGAATGTTGCATCAGACAGGGGTTTCCCTTCCAGCACCATCAGGCTGCCTCTTTCCAGGGCGAGATGTGGGTTCCCTGACATGGGATAGGGCATGAGGGGAGCACCGTGCAACCTGGCTGGATTTTAACAACCCAAACCTCTCCCCTACTCCCTCATCCCACTAAGAGATGTCACCCAGGGCTCTCATACCTATTCCTCAATGTCAATGGGGCAGGAGTCCGGCACTGCAGCTATACGGCAGGGAGAGACCAGAAGGCACATGGTGAGTGTGAGAGGCACGGCATCACGGCACGCAGGAGCTCAAAGGAACTGGCACTGGGGCTGCTCCCCTATGGGGATGATATGGGAAAAGGAGGCCCTGCTGATGGGCACTGGGGGTGTCACAGATGGTGACCCCGGGGCTTCGTGCTGGGGACGACGGAGCACCTCCACCCGTGGATGGGCACAGCTTGGGATGTGCTCACCACCACCTGCACCACAACCAGCTCGTGGTGCTGCTGGAGGGGGTGCACCCACAAAGCACATCATGGTGAGGTTCAGCCCCGTGCCTGGGGCAGCTCTGAGCCCCGGGGGCTGTGCGGAGGCACCCCTAGGCTAAGGCTTTGTCAGAGGGAGTAACAACGTCCCCACTGAGTGCTGATGTCTGGGAGGTGACGGCTGCGATCTCCAATGGCTCTACACTGTGAGCTGGAGCTGAAGAACAAGGCAAGGCTGCAGATCCTGGAGGGACTGGGTAATTAAAGACCACACACACACACACACACACACACACACAGCAATCGCATTAAGGGCTCACATTGCACAAGTCACTCTGGTGCCTCTGTACAAATGCAGGGCGTCCTGGAAAGGCTCCCAAGGGGCAATGCCAGGAGCGGGATGTGGGGACACAGCCACGCAGCCATCCCTGCTGTGCCTTATCCCAGCAGGGGCTGTGCTGCTGCCTGAGGATGCTCTGCCCCAGGGAACCCTCCTGGGGACGCAGGTCTGTGGGTTTGTCTCAAACTTTGCATCCTAAGCCCCCAGGACGTGGCATTTTGACTCTTCCCAAAGCATTTTCCCAGCAGATGAAAATCTGGAAAGATTTCCCAACAGTGCTAGGGATGGACAAGCACTTCCACATCGATGAGCCACGTCCTGCACCTTCATTCATTACAGAGAGAGTGAAAAACAACTCGTGGATCTAATCACAGCTAAACCAGTCTCTAAACCATCTCTGGTCAGGATGATACTAAGCTTTCAAGATACTCCAAAGGAAAAATCCCTGCTGCTTGTGTCTGTCCTGTGGATGCACTCACATCTGAACCAGGAGGGAAACGCTGCCCTGGTTCACTGCTAAAAGCCTTCAACCTCTTCCAAATCTCTGGCACCAGCGCACCCAAACCAGCCCAGCACCACCACCACGAACATTAAGCTGTGCCTCAGATTATCTCTGGTGCAAAGCCGGCTGGTGAGCGCAGGCTGAATGCAGCTGGGGCTGGGTGAGGAAGCAGCTGCCCCGCTCCCAGCAAACAAAACCAACATTGCCCAACACTGATGGCCACTGGCAAACGACCAGCGTGGTCCATCCCGGTTCATTCCGTGACCCCCTGCCCCACAGCACCCCGACTGCAGGGAGCAAGTTGCATTCTCCAAACCCTCAAGGCAGAGCCCCTGCCTTCCCTGCATGCCTCCAGCTGTGCTCCCGTCCCCTCTGCCATCCTGCAGCGCTGCAGTCCAGGCAGCCCCTTCCCCACTCTTCCCATCAGCCCCAGAGGCAATGCCTACAGAGGGTTCGCAAGCAGAGCAGCTGCCAGGCAAACGCAAGGACCAAAGGATGGAGACCTCATCCTTCGCTGCCAGAGCATCTCTGCGGCTGCTTGGGCTGCAAAGCTCTCCGTCCCTCGGCACGACGGAGGGGGATGCACTCAGGGATGGCTTCGGCACCAAAAAGGGCACCTGAGGGATGCCAGGTGCTGCTGGAGGGACGTGGGGCAGCTGTGGCAGGTGCCTGTTCCTCTGCAAGAGCCTCGCTGTGTTTCTCCCAGGCAGAAACCACTAGGAACAGGGCAGCCAGGTGGCAAGGCAGTGGCGTGGGAAGCTTTCCCAGAGGGGATGGGGAAGGAAGGGCATTCCCAACCCAGTGGGGCCAGGCAGTTCTCACCTCCCTCCCCCCCCATTCCCCTTCTTCAGCCCCTGCCAACAACCCTGCCTAAAGTGACAGGCAGGGTCAGAGTTGCTTTCAGTTTGTCCACAAATGTATTGCCACGGAGCTGAACAAGAGGGCTCTTCTTGGCTTTTTTACCCCCATTTGTATCCCTCTGCACTGACGGAGAGGAGCCTGCTGTAGCTGCAGGTCCCCTGCCCTTGTTGTCAATACATTTGTCACCTTTCAGCAACTCTGGGCAAGGAAGGGGACACAAGCACGGGCAGAGAAAACCGTGTTGGCACAGAGTGAACATGAACTTTCGCATGGACGGAGGAGTCTGGGGTGGGGAGAAAGAAGAGAGAAAAGGAATGGAGAGAAGGAGCGAAGAAACAGAGGAAAGGAAGAAGGAGAGGGGAGAAACAGTGTGAAAAGATGGAGAAGAGGGATGGAGCTTTGGGGCTGTGCTGGAGGACATCAGGAGCTGGAGAGCCTTATCTCCCTGGCTGATGAGAAGGGAAGGCAGGCAGCTCAGCGTCCCAATCCAGCAGCACCTGGCCAAGGTTGGAGCACCTCTGCTTCATGTCCTGACCCAAAACACTGCAAACCACACCGTGGGCTCTGGTTGTGCCATGCAGCCATTCGTGGGGAGGCTGGAGCCTGTCCAGGAGCAATGTCCCAGCAGGCAGCAGCCATGGGACAAAGCCCTCAGTGAAGCACATCTGCAGGCACTGTGGTGGGGATGGGAGGAAACCCAGACCAAGGGGTGGTTATGTGCCAGCAGAACGGGTTGTGAGGACCACTAGGAAGGGACGGGATGGAGATGGATGGGATGGAGATGAAGGGATCCGAAGGGCAGGGGCGATGCAGGGAGGAGTGGAAGCACCCCCCCCCACCCCAAGTTCATGTTCAGCAAGTGGCCACTCACCAGGTAAGCAGGCCTCAGAGCACAGTTTATTGTCCAGCGCTTTCACGTGTGCGATGCTCAAGTCATTGTTATTGTCACACCTCAGACCGAGGAAAGCGCCTGTCCTCGGGCCTGGAAGGGAGTTAACGCAGTTAGCGCGGCGGGGTGCACGCGGGGAGGGGGGCACGGGGAATTTCCTCTCCCCACCTCCTTTCAAACAAAGCAAACAAAGCACTGTGAGCTGCTCCTTCCTCGCGCTGAGGGCTCAAGGCCCCTTGCTCTGGCACCGTCAGTGCAGCCGCGGGGACGGAAGGAAGCTGAACAGCCAAGCTTTGCACGGGGCATGGAGGTTTTGGGGGCCAAGAGAGGCAACTCTGCTTCTTAGCACTGGGTACATGACAAGTGACCAGCTCTGGGGTGACGTGCATCCATAGGATGCAGGCAGCAGAGCTGCGGGGAGAGGGGCATCTCAAATGGCACTGGCAGCACTGCTGATAGCACACATGGGTTCATGTCCTAAGGCACAAAAGCTGGAGACTTGCCATGAACGCCTTAATTCTTGGTGCCTGATCAAGCTGGCTTATAGCTGAGCCGAGCTCCCTGTGAGGAAGGTGGTGCTGGCTTTTGGGGTGCTAGGAAAGGCCAGGAGCAACCCCCATGTTCTCCCTGCCTGGGCCTCACCAAGAACAAGAGCCTTCCTGCCGGACAGGGATGTGCTTTGCTCTTTTTGCTGATGGCAAGACAGCCAGGCTCATGGTTCTCAGCTTGGCTGGCAGTTCAGATCGAAAGGGAAAGAGGTCTGATGCCTTTTTGTTATCAAGAGCCTTGCAAATACAGGAGGGGGCACAATGGGGGCCTTTCTGTCAGGAAGGGGGGAAACATCATCTTTCCTTGGTTATTTGAGTGCATGGGAGGAAGCAAGAGGAGCCTTCAGTGTGCACATGTTGACTTGTGAAAGCACATCGAGGACAAGCAAACACAAATAAAATGAGGAAAGTAGCCCAAAAAGGAACAGTTTTGCAACCCCTTCCTATGGAAACCAGCACAGACAGGGATAGTGAGGGGAGAGGTTTTCAGAGATGCTGAGAGACCTTCTTGGCAAGGAAAAAAAACCCTCTCAAAGACACTTTCTCACTTGGCACCGTGGAAGCAGCTCCAGCTGCATCCCATGGAGGGACTGCAGGAGCATCACCCTTCCTGCACGGAAAGCCTTCGAGGAGCTGCTGCTCACCCAGGTGCTGCATCCCCCAGCACAGCCCGTGCATGGGACACTCTGCCCCACTGGGTACCTGGTTCCACACTGCCACCTATCCCACTGCAGGGATTCACATCCTAAGCTCCAGTCGTCACCTGCTACGTGCCCCAGGGTCCCCATGGCCACCCAGCTGTCCCCATCCTGCTAGTGTCTGACCCATCCAGGGGCAATTCGACTGTGCCAGCGCTTCCCCAGCCCCGGTGCCTCCAAAGCAGCCGGTGCTCTCCCCTATGACACGAGAACTGAGGACAGCACAGCATCACCCCGCCAGTGATACTGAACAGAAAGTGGAGGGGAAAAACAGCGATCTGGGCCTTTTACCATCTTCCTGTGTGGGTGACACATCCTCATCCTCCAGCACGTCATTGCCCTGCGGCACAGAGAGGCAGTGGCTGTCAGCACAGTGGGGCACCCCATAGCACTGGGAGTGCCGGCTCCCCGCGCCGCGCCGTACCTCAGCATCGTGCTCCTCTGAGATGCTGACAAAGTTTAAATCTGGGGACTCCACAGGTGTCGACTGCAGGAACAAGTGGGAACGGGGAAAAAAAGAATAAAATCAAATTAATTATTTTCTTTCAAAAAAGCAATGGCGTCTCACAAGGGCTGCCACCCCCTGTACCTCTCCATCAGAGGCGGTGGCACTGGCGGCTGCAGGCGAGGGGAGCATGTCCCCTTCTTCCTCTGTGCCAGGGGCCACGTAGGAGCCGGACATGGAGGAGACAGTGTCGGTGCTGATCTGTGAGTGTTGGCTCTGGGAGGAGGCCATGGACATGACAGACTGGGCCAGGCTGCTGCTGGCAGCTTCTGAAGGGAGCACAGCACCGGGTAATTAAAAGGAGGTCTAATAAGAGGAGTGGGACATGAAGCAAGGGCCGTGCAAACCCTCTGAGGACATGGAGGTGTGTGTCACATGTACCTTCTGGAGACGAGATGGTGGAGGACAGCGGGGTCCCGGTGCACGAGGACTGGTCAATGGCTCCCGATGAGGACAGCGTGAGGTTCTCACTCTCTGGTGTCATGCCACACTCCTGGAAGAAGAGCCGGTGGGTGGGAGCCTTTGAGGGGCGTTTTAGGAAGGGATAGAGCCACTTGCCGTTGGGGATGGCACCAAGGCGGTGCAGATCCACATCTCTCGGGTGTTCACCCAAAGGATGCCCAGGAGAGGAAAAAAACCCACATCCAGACTCTGTGGTTCCCAAGAGGATAAACCACAAACCTCCTCACCCAGGGGCACACAGAACGCTCACCTCCTCCAGCCGGGCAGGGGATTTCCTCCTGCAGACCCTCAGCTCTGACTCAGTACACGACTTCTCGTCCTCCTCTTCGGGCAGGATGGAGGAGTTCTGGGATACCGACCTACAGAATGGAAGAGTAGGATAGAGGGGTCGCTCCCCCCACAGCTCCCCCCGCACCTCCCACATCATCTTACTCACTTGGAGAGGCTTTTCTTCAGCTTGAGCCCCGGTGGGGCACATTCTGAGAGCCGCTCGAGGGGTGAGAGGGCCCGCAGGGGGGGCAGGCGGCCGGTGCTGCTGTAGGAGGGCAGCGGTCCTGCACCGGGGGGGCCATCGCCAAGCATCCGCATCGGCCCTGCACCCGGTGAGGGAGTCAGGGGCCCATTGAGGGCCTCGAGCAGCGACACCACCTCGTAGCCTGGGGGGATGTTCTCTGAGGACTGCGAAGGGGGAAAGGGAGTGAGAGCCCCCCCCAGCTGTGACGTTGTCCCCTCCATCCCCACCAAAAAAATGGAGACCAGGCAAACTCCCATGAAAGCCCCAAATCTGTGGTCTTTCCAACCAACCGGGCATTACTACATAAGGCAGGCAATGCTTTCTCTTACCACACTTTTTGCAATTTTTCAGCCTGCGTTTTTTGCTTGTGTTTCCCACCTTGCATTTCAAAACCCCTGCCCCCCCTCCATTTTCCCAACCCCAGCACTTCCCAACCCACCCCGGTGGGGCACCCGAAGCTCTCCTGAGCGCTGACCGAGTGCTCTTCAGAGTCAGAGGTCTGTGAGGAGATGATGGGGTTGAAGCTGGTGGGCGAGAGGGGCCCCAGCTTTTTCCTCATGGCTCGGATTTGAAGCAAGGCTCGGAAAGCTGGGTAAGAGGAAAAAGGGGAGGAAGAGAGAGAGGTTGAAAACTGGGAACTGGTGCATTCCAGAGGAGCTCAAAAGCCCACGAAAGCCACCCCATTCTGGAGCCTGGGGCTCTCCCAGGGAAACCGTGGGACCCAGAAAGGGACCCTCTCCCAAGGTGGGAGCTCCTCCCTTACGCAGCCTGCAGATGGGGCAGTTGTTGGCCTGGTAGCGCAGGGTGTCAGCGCAGGTGTTGCAGAGGCAGAGGTGGCGGCAGGGCAGGATGAGGGTGTCACGGACATCCGAGAGGCAGACGACGCACTCAGCGCTGTTATCGCTCACCTCATCCTCAGCGACCTGCATGGCAGGGAGATAAGAGGCATTTGGGTCCGAGTCCTCAGCATGGAGCAGGGTTAGGGTCACATCTGAGAGATCTGACCCACGCTAAAGGAGTAAGAGAGGGGTAATGAAAGGCCCAGGGCAGCTGGTTGCAGCTGACAGCCCTCTACCTTGGAGTCCTGTGTGTTGTACTTGTTCTCGATGCCATAGATCTCCTGCAGGAGGTAGCTCACCCCATCCACCTGGAAGTGCACAGGGAAGGTGAGGAATGGAGACAAGGTGTGACAAGTTCCCCCAGGGTTGCAGTTCACTCACCACTTGCTTCTGCTTGAGGGGCTTCACGCAGAAAGTGCCATCAGTATGCTGGGGGAGAAAATAAAGAGGTGGACCCACCTGGGATTGCCCCAGTGCACCCAAGTGCCTGCCTGCCCCCTGCTCCCATGGCACCTTCTGGAGTGGCCCCAAAGCAGCCCAAGCCCCTTCCTGAGCCCCAAGCAGATTCTCCTGGCTAGGGTCTGGGAGGGGGCAGGATGGTGCCAACCCCACACTCACCTTCTCAAAGGTTGCCAGCAGCACGTGGCTGTGCCCGGCGTGCTCTGCAAAGACACAAGGAGGAGGCAAGCTGAGGGCACAGAGAGCCATGGTGGGACAGAGGTTGAGTCCCCACAAGGAGAAGGGGGATGGCATGAGGGCAGGAGCTGCCTGACTGTGCTGCCAGCACAGCCCTTGGCAGCAAGGAAAATGGATTTCCCCTCTCTCACCATCGCCTTCATCCACTACTGCATGCACCACCATGGGAAACACTTCCCGGTCCAGGTCAAAGCCCAGCTGTGAACAGACCAAAGGAAAAGCTCAGTCAGGAGCAGCAAGGACAGAGGCTTCGTGTCCCATCCATAATGAGCAGTTCCCAACAGCTGAGCTGCAGCCCCAAGCCTTGCAAACCCCCCCCCCGGCTGTGACCACACCAAGGGAAACGAGCTCCTGTGGGGGCTCCCAGCCAGCCTGCAGCCAGCAGTGTTTTAGAGCCATTTCTACAGCTGTTTAGAACTGCAGGGCTCACACACCCACCCCTTTCCCTACTGCTGCAGGGCACGCTATGGGCTGGCAGTGCTTACCTCCTCCTCGGTCCATTCCGAGGGGTCAACAGTGTGGGAGGGCACGCAGAACTGCTGGCACACACCCCGCTTGTAGTGCACCGTCTCCGACTGCAGGCTGGTGTCCCTGGGGACGTAGCTGTCCCTCGGAGAAAGGAAAGGGTCAGCACTCCTGCACTCCTCCAGCTCATGGAGAACAGGGGAGCAAGCAGAACTGGTTCTCTGCTTCCCTGCTGGATGTGTCTGAGGGCTGGGGCAAGAAGTCCTAAAAAGGCTAAAATAATCCATGGGGCAAGAGGGCAGGTAGGAATAGGATGGGGCATGGTCACAGCTCCAACATGGAAGGAATAGGAACGAGACTGGGCTGGGGGGTGTGGTGCCTGCAGAAACCTTGACCATATGGGACCAGTGATGGGGATGGACTCGCGGGGGTGAGGAGCCCACCTGCAGCCACAGCTCCCCGAAGGAGAGGAGGTGCTGCTGGGAGCAGCAAGGCCACCAGCAGAGCCACAGTTCCCGGCTGGGGGGTCACACCGTGCTGGAAGGATGCACATCAGGCTGGGGCTCCTCACCTCGCCACCCCGTTGTGGAACTCCTCGCTGGCCTGGTAGTAGATGGTTATGGCCACGCGGGCGTCCGTGTCGAAGGTGAACTCCACGTTGTAGTGCACCTTGGCTTTGCTGACCTCTTCCCCTGGGGTCTTCACCTCCTCTGAACACCTGGGGAGCACAGAGGGTGTCACCAAAGTCCCCTCATCACCCAACGAGCAGCTTTTAGGGACGGACTGCCCTCCTCTTTGGGAAGCCGAGGCACACAGGAGGGCGCGATCTACCCAAGGGCTGCAGGAGGAGGGGTGCTGCAGGCGGCTCTCAGCCCTAATCCCAAACCTCAGCCTCGCTTTGGCAGAAGTGGGGGAAGGAAGAAAAAAGCAAATCTCTTCAAAGGCAGTGCTAAGCCCTGCTTAATCCTGCCAGGCTGCAAGGGTGGCCCAGTGCAGCCCGGTGCGACCTAATGCAGCCCAGTGCAGCCATGAAGACCGCAGGGAGGGCTGTGCAGGGATGGGGACGGCTCTGTCCCCTCGGTTGTGACGCAGTGGGGTGGGACCATCCTGGGGTGCTCACTTGACGAGGCGCAGCGTGTCCTTGCGGATGTTGATCAGGCTCCGGAGGGTCTTCACGGGTTCCTGAGGAGGTGGAGCAGCGTAAGGGAACTGAGGATGAGAGAGACACAGTTACGTGGCCGCAGCCCTGCTCCTGCTGTGATGGTGAAGCCACTCCCTGCCCTGCAAAGCCCCCAGAGCAGCCCCCAGTCAGTGCTGAGGGACAGCAATGTGCCCCCAGGATGGGCAAAGCTGCGCTGAAGGGTAGCATCTCTCCTGCAAACCCCAAAGCCACCATGCACACCATCACAGAGGCTGTTCTCTCCCGGTCTGCTCCTCTTACATAGCTGCATTCACTGGGACTTGGCTCGTTTCTGACTATGGGGGCTTTAAATACCCCAGCCATCCACAATGGGGCTAAAACAGATCCCAGCACTCCACCCTCAGCAGACCACACATCCACGCTCAAATACACAGCAGTACAGCAACGGGGACATCACCCTGCAGGAGATAGCTTTCCAGGGGACCAGGATGGGTGCAGGATGAGGGGAAATAGGGTCGAGGTGCATGGCTGCCTCCCCCCAGCCCCGCAGGCAGCTGCTGTGTATTTTTAGCCTGCTGATGCGGCACGGAGCTGATGGACAAGGCTGGGCAGAGGGAGCTCGGAGCTATCTCTGTGCCTGGCAGCAAAGAACAGACCCACATTCCCCTGTCTTTGTCCAGCAATGGATAGGATTTGGGCTGTGGGGTCCCTCTGTGTCCACACTGGAAACTGATAGGGTGGCTGTGCAGGCAGCAATGCTATGAGGGGTGACACGTAGGGGTGTCATACCGCCCTCCAAGGTGACCTTGTGCTTCCCATGTCACCTGCAGCCTGCAGGGAAACACTGCTGCAGAGAGGGGATACCCACCCTCTTCTCGGCACTGCAGCCACCTAAGGAAGATGGGAGATACTGGGAGGGACACAAGGACCTCTCTGCATCTCTCCCCATTTCTGCCCCTTCTTCAGATGCCTCCCAGGTGGGCTCACCTCCCCTGCGGACTTTGTAAATGCGGAGTGACAGGAGCTTGGAGCAGCTTATGCTGGGATTAATGTCTGGCTCACCGACGAGCTGTCACTGCATGCCAAGGGGACAGCAAGCACCAGGAGAGCCCCAAGTGCCTGCACAGATGGCAGACACGGGCAAAAGCCAAAGAGGTTTGAGTTTCACTGGTGCTTTGGGACAGGGACCAAAGCAAACCGAGCTGCCTGGGTCCCCTCAGTGCTCAGGTCTCCTCATCCCTCCCGATGCCCATTTTCCATGTTCCAGGCGCCCTCACGTGGGAAAGTCACTGCTGATTTCCCTGTGGCTGCAGAGCTCAGTGGGGCAGGGGACGGGCAGGACCCCATGGCCAGCAGGGTCTCACAAGCATCAGGACCTCAGGGGCAGCAGGACGGTCCCTCTTGTTCCCACAGCTCTGCTCCTGATGGCCACGGGCAGGCTGAATCCAGGCTGGCTGAATCCAGGCTCAGCCTGCAGGACCAGGCATGGGAGGTGGGTGGCACAGGACGCTTTGAGGATTAATCCATGGCCCCTTGAAATTGCCACGCTCTCCTTTCCCTTGAGGGAGGAGAAAAGGGCTGCTGAGTCATTAATCTGGAGTTAATGAGATTTGTAACGAGTCACGGGCCCTGGCAGAATAGCATGGTGTGGCTGGAAGGAAGCAAATGCCTGAGAGCCAAGCATGACCCACAGCCCTGACCCACACAAGGAGAAGCTCATGGACTGGACCTACACCACTGCACGATCCTTCTTCCACCACGAAGCCATCCAACCTGTCTGCTCATTTGCACCTTGGCATCTTCAAAACATCCCACAGCCCCACGAGGCTGTCGGGAACCCATGGGAGCAGCACAGCGCTCACGGATGGGTGGTGGAGGAGCACCCAGCACGTGCCCCAGGGTACATCACTCCATCCAGCCCTTGTGGGGGCCCTTCTGGCCACCCCCACAAGTTTGGGGTTGCAGGCAGGCACTGGTGGTTGGGCTGGGCAGAATGGGGAAGCACCGCAGGCAAATTTCTTGCTACAGAAACTGGTTGTCACTATTGGGCTCCTTCACACCCACATGTGGGCCCCTTTTTGGTAGTTTAGTGGGGGTTTTTTGGTGCAAATCTGGCTTGCAAAATTTCATTAATTACAAAAGGGGCATTTAGAGGAGTTTTTCAATCCCCTTGATTTAAGCCAAGCTGAAATACAACAGAAAAAAAACCCTCGCTCCAACCACTGCTCTCTCTCAGAACACAGTCCACACATCCTTAGTGATGTTTGATCCAGGCCAGTCCTTGTTGAAGTCAAAAAATACCCTCAAAAATATTCCTTGAGGCTTTTTCTGCAGGTGCACACGGGCGGTGTTCATCTCACCACGCTCTGCAGAGATCCCTCCCCATCCCCTGCATCGCTGCAAAAGCCCCCTGTGTGCAGCACGGCGCCTCCCTGCAGCTCAGTGATGTTTAACGGTTCACCCCAGCTGCACAGCTTAGAGAGGATTTAGGACAATGTTTCCAAGACATTAGGCTCTCAGCTCTTCCAGGACTTCAAAGGAGCCCAAAATAAAACCCCCAGCAAAAAGCATCGGTGTGCTCCTACATTTCCAGCCCAACCACATCTCTGTCACAGCAGCCCAGAACACAAAATAGCATCCAAGAAAAGGATTGGAGGCAGCATCAGAGATACCTACGTTGTTTCTGCCCCAGTGCCACGTCCAGGCGCCATGCAGCACCCCCTGAGCCCCACTCCTTGCACACCCCATGACCCCAAACCTCCCCCCATTCATGGGGACAGCAGCCCCAGAGCAGAGCGCAGCCGCTCGCATCCGGCGCTAATTAAGCCTGAGCAATGTGATTTCATTTGCAATGCTATATTAATTCTTTCTGCTGTTTCCAAGCTGTTAGTTTGCCTTCCCTGCTGCTCCTGACAGCCTGCTGTCAGGATTCCTGACACTGGAACTGCACGGTGGGCAGTTTTGAGGCTTTTACTGAGGCTACTCCTGACTCCCTGTTGGAGCGATGGCACGAAAGCCAAGCGTTCCTTACTGAGTAAGCAGGCAGCAAAGAGAGAAACATCCAAAAGTTGCACTGTTTGGAGTGGGCAAGCTCATCTGGACTCAATAGCAAAGCTTCGGTGCCATCAGATTCCTCACCTTGAAGTTTTTGCTGCCTGACCCACAGATTTGAAGAACACAGAAACTAAGGACATCTTGAGCCCAAACTACTCATTGCAGCCACCGCTGCCCTTCAGATGAACACAAAGCAGCAAGCACAAAACTGCCTCCATCTCATGGGAAGGAGCTGAACCGCACTCATTTACCAGCAGCAGTTGGAAGAAAAAGCACTGCAGGGCCAAGCAGAGGGGCAGAGGAGAAATGGGCAACGGCAGAGCAGCACTGAAGGGAGCTGGCACCCAGCCTCTCACAATCCTATCCACCAGCTCAGAGAGAGGAGGGACACGGCAGTAACTTCCAGTCCTGCAGATGGACAGACAGCCCCACAGGGGACATGGATCGGGACCCAGGGGGGCAGCAAGCGATCAGCCTTTATATTAGACACCAGAGAATCCACTGGGCCCACCCCCAGAGCGCTTGGCTGTCTCTGCCCTCGTGCAGGATAGAGAGAGGACAGACAGACAGCAGGCAGAGCCCACTCCCACTGATCCCTACCACCACGGGTCGGTTCCCCAAGAAGTTGAGGTCGCTGTTCTCGCCGAAGAGGTAACCCTCAGGGTGCGTTGAGTCGAACTTCTCGCCTCCCATGATGAAGTGGTTGGCAAAGTAGCTCCCTGGGGAGGAAACACAGAGCGTGGCTGAGCACGAGGGGCACGCGGAGCTCCTGAGCCCTCGGCAGCAACGCCACCGCAAAGCCACCACTGGCTCCGAGTGGTTTGGTCCCCAAGGCCGCATCACTGAAGTGGGGACATGGGGCTGCAGTGCTCCAGATAGGAAAAGCCGACCGTCAATTATTGATGCGTTCTGGTCCCATTTTCCACGTGCATAATTTATAGGTGGCTCCCACAGGAAGGATGCGGCCACGTGAAAAAGCCCAAGAGCAAAACACAGCTTGGGAGGGGGGGGGAGGAGGCTGGAGCCATCCAGAGCTTTTTGTGATGTTGACTTTGGAGAAGAAGAGATGGAAAAATGCCGTGTTCAAACCTGCAGGAAAGCATCCAGGCGGTGAGAGGAAAGCTGAAAAGCAGAGCAGGCTCTGTGCAATAGCTGCAATCATGGCTTGCTGGGGGCTCCTACAGTGTAACCTTAACCCAGTATCAGCTATGAGGACCAAGCTGCACCCAACTTCCACACTGGGGGTGGAGAGCACCTTTGGGTGCTGCAGGCTCCCAGGGCACAGCCGCATCCCTCAACGTCCCTTTGGCAGCTCCTGGGATGCAGCCCTGACCTCACTGCTTCCAGGCGTGCAGCCTCACAGCAGGCTCATGCATTTTACATGGGCTGAGTGCTGCAGCCATCAGCGGCAGCAAGAGAGATTAAAGAGGCAGGAGGTAAAAACCTGGCGATTTTGCCTTCCCCACGGGAAGGAGGCTGAGCAGAAGGCGCTGAGCTCTGAGTCGTGCCAGGCTCTGCCCTATAAACCATTGGGACACCGGCAGCACGGAGCCAGCGACTGCAGGCGCGTCAGACAGGGAAGCACCTCTCCAGCGAAAGCCCTCTTATTATCGGCTAATTATAATCCCTTCCCCAACACCTGCCCCAGGGGAAGGAGAGCCTGTCAAGGACAGTTACATTGCCGAGGGAAAGCTGAGCTTTAATGAGATATTAAACTTCAGAGGCCCAGAGAGCGTGTGGGAACGGCTGTGTGCAAGGGGAATGGAGTGGCTGCTTAAAAGGAATAAAACCAAATTGCTCAGTGATCCCAGCAAACAAAACCACATCCACACGCCTGCCAGCACCGTGCTGCAGGATGTGTCCAGGCACAGCCAACGCTGCTAATGCTATCAGCCCCTTTTCTCCTTGAGCATCTCCTTGGGGGGGATCCATGGGAACCCCCCAGACCACTGACCCACGGCCAGGTGCTTCTGTGTTTCTGTGTCCCTGCTTCCCCAGTGGCAGTGAGGAGCTGCGCACTGCGGGCTGTTTTCATTCTCAATTTAATTTGCTTCAGAGAGGGAGGAGAAACCAAACCCCAGCTGAGGATCTGCTGTGTCAGCCCTCGCCCCACCGCCACAGGAACCCATGGGGTGTCCCTGGTACACGGGGTGTCCTCACCAGGTTGACCCCTTCATCCTGTCCCCAGCCTGTGGGTCAGCATCAGCCTCAACCAGAGACTGGGGCTGCAACCAGGGACCTGCCCAACCTGGGGACCCTGCATCCACCCCCACACTGAACAGCCATAAAACAGCCCTCAATCATTCTCCTTTCCAACCTCCCTGCCAGTTTTGAGCCGCTAAAACAAATCCCATCCTTCACTTCAAAATATTAGCTTTAATTAATCTTATCTGTGCCCTGCCCAGAGGAGGTGGAGACCTCCAGGAGGAGAAAAGGAAAGTCTGATGGGGACAGGGAGTGGCTGCAGCATCACCCCGCAGTCACATCCACAGAGAGGGCTGTGCCCCACAGCCTCGCACTGCTCCATCCCCAAGCTGGTGGCTGCTTTCACGAGCACTCAATGCAATCGCTGCCAGCAGTGCCAGAGGCAAATCCCTCTCAGATTAAAAGCAGGACAGCCCTAATCTCCTGCAGTCACCAGCCTGCGCGCAGTGCAGATGGCCCCGTCCCTTCCTGTCAGCTGGGCACCTCCTGCCCTCTCCCCAAGGATGCGGCCCCACAGCTCTGCCAGTGGGAACACCTGAAACCCCACTGAGCACACCTGAAAACCTCAGTTTCTCTCTGAAAGCTGTGGGTAAGCATCAGCCAGATGTCCTCTTCCAGCTGAGATGCATCCGGGGATGCTCAGCTAGGCGTAATTGGGCAGGGACAACATTCCCCAGCACAAAAACCTGATATGCACACAGAGCTCCAGGCCCCTGCCAGACCCACAGAGGGGCTGGTCTGGCTCCAGCTGGCATCAAGGTGATGGAGGCCTTCGGACTGCACAGAAGCAGGAGCTGGGGAAACCCCAGGGCTGACAATGTCAGCTGCCTCAGCCCCCAGTGAGCCCCCAGCAGATGTGCAGCCCTGCTTCAGCTGGGCTGAGGGGTCCAAATCAAACAGAGAAGAGCCAGGCGCAGCTTTCATGACCAGGGTAGGGTTTGAGCTGGCTCTGATTCTTCCTAAGGAGGTCTTTATTCATAATTAGCAAGTAATTTGTCACAGCGCTAACGATCCGAGCATTTACCTTTATCCTATTAACTACCAAAATAGTTACCTATTAATAATATTCCGTGCCACAGGGATGCTGTGGCAATTCCTACAGTGCTCCTGGGCACCATCCTATTTTTGCAGTGTCCCCCGAAGACACACAGCGCCCCTGCTGCGACCCCCAGGACACAAACACACACACACACACACACACGGTCCCCCCCCCTCGGTCACCAGCTCCATCCAACCGAGGCACAGAGGGGAGGGACCAATTTTCCAAGGTCACGCAGAAGGTTTGAGACAGGGCCGGATTCAGGGTGGCACAGACATCCCTGCTGCGGCTTCAGTGAGGGCAGAGGAGCTCGACGGGCAGAGCTGGGGGGCTGCTATGGGGCAGAGCAGAGGGGAAGGAGGGCTCCCTTCCAATCCCTCCCACCTCATCCTCCTGCGTCCTCCCGGGAATTTAAACCCAAGCATCAAGCAACTCCGTGAGGAGCTATAAAGAGAGTGACGGCTTTCAGATCCCATATACAAATAATCAGGGAATTAAATTAGCGGCAACTCAGGCAAGTTGTAGGAGCTGCGTTAGCGACGGGGCTCCTGGAAATGGGCAGCCCCAAGGACGTTCCCAGGGATTTCCCTGCCCCCTGCGAGTCTCCCAGCACCAACCCCATAATTTTAGGGCTTTCAGGCTAAGCGTCGGGGTGCACAGGAGCATCCCGACAATAGCGAGGATGCGGGTGAAGGGAAACCCTCCATAACCGGAACAAGGTCGCACCTGGTCCCCCCTCCCCAGCGCGGAGCAGAGCCGGCACCCCCCCCCCCGCTTACCGGATTTCGGGGGATACCTATAGACGGAATTAGCGGGGATATCCACCTCCTCCACCCCTGCGTTTTGTCGGCTGGTCAAAGCCCCCATGGCCGGGCCGGGCTCAACGGGCGCCCTCCGGCCCGGGACCGGCACCGGGGCTGAGCGGCGGCGGCCCCCGCCCGCAGCATCCCCCGCTCTGCGCCGCGCCCGGCACCGCCTCCGCGTTAGCGCCGGGGCCGCTGCGCCAATGCGGGGCCGGGCCGGGCCAATCCGCCCCGCCCGCTCGGCTCGGCACGGCACGGCGGTACCGCTGTCCCCGGTGTGACCCGTTTGCCTCCCTCTCTCATCCGCCGGGACCCCCCCAAGTGCCCACCGGCAGCACCTCCTGCCCTTGATGTCACCCTCCTCCCAACCCGCACCCCAGCAGTCACCCCCTCCCCAGAGACCCCCAAGGTAGGGATGGGGACGATGTGGACCGCTCCACCATCCTGGGGTGTCCCCTGGGAAAAGCCGAGCGTCGCCCCCCCCGCCCCCCCACCTCCCCCTTCTTGCACCCAGAGCCGCAGCACACCTCGGGTGCCCAGCACAGAGCAGATGGGAGCACTGAGCACCTTCGGGTTTTCCCTTTGGAGGAGGAAGGCTGAAAACGCCGGTGATGAATTAATCCTGCAGCGCAAGTTAGTGGAGCGTCACATGATTTTGATTCGAGTTGATAACATGAATGCTATAAATATCAAAGCAGAGATGTGCGGGGAGGCAGATGAACTGCCCCGATGTCCTCAGCTACTCAGCAGTGCCGTTCCCCAGGGCTCCCCGCTTGGTGCCCCCCTGCACAGGGCCATGCATGTCTCTCTCCCCCTGTGCTCTGCTTCTTGGCAGCACAGCCCTGAGCGCAGCTGAGAAAAGCCAAAGCACAGAGAGAGTGTGAGAGTGTGTGTGGGGGGGAGGGGGGAGTCCTGCAGCCTGACTGCATCTCACTGCCCCCACCCTGGATCTCACCCACCGAACCCAACACCTGCCATCGGTGGAGATGGTTGCACAGAAGGAGCTGAGGCTCAGTGCGTCTCCCAAGGCTTAGGAAAGCAGGTCAGCTCCTGGCTCAGGTCATGCAGAACAAAGAAGGCCCCCCCAGACCTCAAAGCTCCCATATTTCTGCACAGGGCGGCCCCGTGGGGTCAAACCCATCCCTGGACCCATTCCTCTGTCTTCTTCCAGCAAGCAAAAGCCCTGCAGGAATGAGAACCTGGGTGAGATGGAGCCGGCACGTCATTTGCAGCACACAACAGACTGCAGGGCTTTAGTGCAGACAATAACTCAAAGTTAGCCCCATAAAGATCCATAAAGCAGCGCTCATTACACGCAGAGCTGCTGCATGCAGGCTGCACGGCTCGTGGCTTTTTTTTCAGCGCCGTTCTGCTGCAGAGGATTTTGTAGGACAGCGCCGCAGCGGAGCGAGGAGTGCAGGCACTGACAGCACAGCTCGGGGCCGAGCTCCGCTTCCCTTCTGCTCTGCCCCATCCGTATCAGCCCCAGGCACACAGACAGCTCCGATAAACCGCAGCAACGTGGGGAAGAGGGGACAAAATCCGATGCACAAAGAGAAAACAGCGTTAAACCCCAAAAGGCACCTGTCAATACTACCAGTAAGCTGCCTCCCAGGGCTGTGTGTGACCACAGCTCTCTCTTAGGGCTCAACTCTGGCACCAGGGCTGTTGCTCACATGCGGCCCTCAAAGGAGCTGCGGGTATTTGTGGAGAGAAAAGCAGCCTCCACCGATCTGCAGGCATCACATCACCTGCACCAGTTCCCATCCCGTCCTGCTCCACCCCATCTCATCCAACCCCATCCCCATCCTTATCCCACTCCACCCTCACCCCTGTCCATATCCCACCCCTGTCCTCATCCCACCCCCTCCTCGCTTCGCTCATTGCCCATCATTGCCCTCCAATCTCCAAAGCCTCTTTCCAGCCTTTTATTTTTCCCCAATATATATATATATATATTTTTTAAACCAAAACCTTCCAGGCGCCCTTCGCACCCGACCATCCCTGAACCATCCGGGGCTGTCTGGGACCCCATGACGGGGGTGGCGACGGGGGTGGCGACGGGGGTGGCGACGGGCCCCGGCCGCGCTTTGAAGCCCCGGCCGCACGGCGCCGTTCGCAGCCCCGGGGCTCCGCCGGGACCCCCCGCCGCGCCGCTGAATGAAGGTGCTCAATGAACGTGACGTCACAAACGCCCAACGAAAGCGACCAATCAGCGAGCGCTCCTCGCCTTTCCCCCATCGCCCCGCCTCCGCGTAGACCGACGACCAACGGCAGCGCCGTCTGCAGCCAAAACACAAGCGGCGACCAATGAACGAGCGGATGGGCGGGGCGTAGCGGCGGAGCAGCTGGAAGATTCGAACCCAACGCCCGTCGGGGCGGGAGGCGCGGAGGCGACCAATCGGAGCGCGGGGAGGAGGGGGCGTGGCTTCGCTTTCGCCCCGCCCACCCCCCCCCCAACCCAGGTCCCGGTGCCGCCGCCGCTCCCCACCCCCACCCCGCGCGGTGTCGGCGCGGCGCGGGGCGCGCTCCGGGCACCCACGGCGGGGGTCCCCCCTGCCACCCCCCCCGCCCCCCCGGGTTGGGCCGGCCCCGCCATGTCGGTGAACATGGAGGAGCTGCGGCACCAGGTGATGATCAACCAGTTCGTGCTGGCGGCCGGCTGCGCCGCCGACCAGGCCAAGCAGCTGCTGCAGGCGGCCCATTGGCAGTTCGAGGTACGGGCACCCCCCCTTCGGAACCCCCCCCTCTCCGCCGGCCCTATACTCCCTGCTCCCTTCTCGCCACCCCCCCCCCCCCGCTCCCCCGGTGCCGCAGAACGGGGCCGCGGCCCACGCACAGGCGCTGGGTTTGGCCAAAGGGAGGGGGGATCGGGCCCCCCCAGTGATCCCCTAAGGGGTGTTTGGAGGGGGGGAAGGGGGGGAAGGTCCCGCTTCGGGCTGCCCCTGTTTGTACCCTATTTATACCCGGGCCGTAACCGGATCCGCCGGCCGGGCCGCGGGGGGGGGGGGCAAAACCCATTAGTGGGGGGGGAGGGAAGGGGTGTAAAAAGGGGCGGGGGGACCCCATGAAGGGGAAGGGGGGGTTGGATCCGAGTGGGTTTAGGGACTGTGGGCCTGGCAACAGGGGAGAGGTCAGCGAGGGAGTGGGGTCCTGAGAGCATTGAGGGGGTCGGAGAGGGGGTGGGGGGCTCCCTTTGCCTCTTTTGGGGCTCTCCTCCACCTTTGGGGCTTTTTGTCTCTCCTGACGCACACCCTGTGCCCCCCCAGACCGCCCTGAGCGCCTTTTTCCAGGAGACCAACATTCCCAACAGCCACCACCACCACCAGATGGTAAGCCCCCCCCCTCCCACAGCCCCATACACCCCATAACAACCCTCCCACCCCCCAGCCCTTCTCCACAACCCCCCCCCATATCCCATCCCGGCTCCTGTTGTCAGCCCCGCCACCATGTTGCTGTGCCACCGGCAGCACGCAGCCGGCGAATGTAAACACCACGAGCTAAGATGTCTGCCAGGAAGCGGCTGTGCCGCGCGGAAGGCCGCAGCCCCGCTCCCCTCACACCACCATGGGGACACGTTTCATCGTCTGTTTTCTTCCCCTTTTTATTTTCGGGGCTGGGTTCTGCTGCTTTGTCCCTTTTCTGTCCGTCAAGGCCGGCCCATAGGCGCTCAGCAGGCCGCAGTCTGGGCCTCACGGTCTGCACCTCTGGGTTTACCTCCCTCCCCCACCTTTGCTCAGGCTGGGGTGGCTCCCACTGTGATTTTCTCCTATATTCAGAGTGTGAGGGGTCCCACAGAGCCCCCCAGCAGCTGCTAGCTGTGCCTCATCCCCGTGTTTCCATCTACTGGCAGAGGGAAGGTCAAACCCCGCACCGGAGCTTCGCCCCTCCTTCAAAAACCCCATTTAGAGCTGGGGAGGGGAGGCAGGCGGAGCTGCTTCAGGCCTTGCAGGACTCACCAAACAAAAAACCACCCTAAAAAGTAGGGCTCAGTGCAGCCATTCTGCCCCACCAGCCCCGGGAGGCTGCAGGAAGCACCGTGCAAAGCAGGCAGCAATGCTGCGTCCATTGCTCCAGGAAAGGGCCCACGATCTGCTCCCCTCCCACACGGCACTTGTGGGATTCAGAGCTCCCCCAAGCCCACTCTGTCCTCACGTGGGGCTGTGCTGCTGACACCAGTGCACAACAAGGAGAACAGTGCTCACCGAATCCTGCCGTGTTGCATTTTTGGCATTTCTTGCTGCTTTCCCCCCTTCTGGCTCTGAGCAGCCCCTCCTCGCAGTGGGACACAACAAGGGGCTCTGTGATCCACGACAGCCAACAGCTCCCTGAAATAATGATACTGGAGGAAGAAGGCAAATCGTTACACCGCTTTTTTTCTTTTCTTCTTTCTTTTGTTTAATTAATTGTGCAAACACCCCACAAAGCCTAAGCTGCATCCGCTCCTCTTGCACCTGACTCCAGGTGCCATGTGGGGCACGAGGTCCTTTATGTACTGAGGACACAAGTGAGCCTGAACAGGAGCGTCTGGGACAAGGACCCACTTCTGGAGCAGCCCAGCCCAAGCACATCCCCATCCTCTGCTATAGCAACAGCACAGCTGGCATCTGCAGCTGGTCTGGGAGCACTGCAGTGCTGCTGGAAGCACATGGTGCTGTGCTTCCTGCTAGAAGATCTTCCTGACCCCACATTGGTAGCAGCATCTTCAGGCTGCGGGGAGGAGCACTGCTGGACCCTCTGCTGGCTCTGCTCAGCTCCATCCCAGCACTGAGTGCTGCATCTCCATGTGGGGTGCAGGCACTCGGACCCCTCAGGCCAAAACCCTGTGCAGGTGCTCCATCTGTGTACCTTACAGCTTTCATCAGAGCACCGAGCCCCAACAGAGTTCCTCCTGGAGACCCCACAAATCAAACCCCAACGCTGAGCAACCCAGATAAAGGGGCTGGGGCCTCAGGATGGGCACCCTGCCCCCGTAACCAAGGTGGACAAGGAGAAGTTTCTCTGCACTTTCCTTCCCCTGGTTTGGGGTGTGTGACTTTAGCAGCCTCACACACTCTCCCTGTGGGTATTCCTCCTCTCCCTGGCTCAGCACAGCCCCTGCTAAATTTAGCCAGATATACAGAAGCTCCGGGTGGCACCGAGAACCTCGGGGCCCTTCTTTGTTTTGCTCTGCACTTCAGGGAAGGAACTGCAGCAGGAACAGCTGGGTCCTGCAGGGACCCCCAATCACTTGGGCTTGTGCCACTTTGGGAAGTGGCAGTGAGGAGAACCCCCACCTCGTTGCTGGGGGTGTCCCTGTCCCACCAGTGCTCTCAGCCCCTTCTGAAAGGGGAGAGCACCCGCTGGGCTATTTTGGGTTGTGTGAGCTGCTGCCAAGTCCTGGTTGCACAGCACAGGGAGGGTTATTTGCAGGGGCTGCAGCGAGTCCCTTCTCTGCTGGGTTGGCAAAGCTGGCTGTGTGCTGGTGAGGGAACTTACAGCCAGGGCAGTGCTGGCTTTGCAGCATAATATGGAGGAAAATACTCTAAAAGGTGCAGTTAATAAAACTGCTGAAGCTTGGTGCTCCCAGCGCAGTGGAGGTGGTGCTGGGCTCTCACACGTCCCTCTCCTCCCTGTCAGCATCTGACTGAACGGGAGCAGTGGGGCTGAACCTCCCCATGTCAGATTCCCAGCTTTGGGATCAGCTTTAGGGGTAGGAACCTCGATCCTGAGCCAGCACAGGAGTGTGACCAGCACAAACCCTGGGCCCTGTGGGTCTCACCCAGAGCACGAGCACTGCGTGGGGACCCCAGCACTGCGCTGAGCTCAGCTCTGAGCATCCCTCACGTGATGGGGTCCCCCCTACTGCTTCTGCACCCACTGGCGGGGCTGTAGGACCCCTGCAAACCCCGTGGGCACCCAAAGCTGCCCACAGGGACCACAAACAACCCTTAGGGACCCAAAATGACCCACGGGGAACCTGACACCCAGCGTCTCCTCTCCCCACAGATGTGCACCCCAAGCAACACGCCGGCCACTCCGCCCAACTTCCCGGATGCTCTCGCCATGTTCTCCAAGCTGCGAACCTCCGAAAACCTCCAGAGCAGCAACAGCCCCATCACCTCCATGGCCTGCTCCCCCCCGGGCAGTTTCAGCCCCTTCTGGGCCTCTTCACCCCCCAGCCAACAGCCCTCCTGGCTGCCCCCCTCCTCGCCCACAGCCCACGGCCTCCATCACCACCTGCACCACCCGCAGCCCTCCTGGCCCCCCGCGCCCCCCCCAGCCGCCCCCCCACAGAAAGCCATGGCCACAATGGATGGCCAAAGATAAGGGGGGGGGGGGGGAGGGGGAGAAACAGGGCCAGGGCGTTTGCAGCAGGGGGGGCTTCCTGAGAAACGCACTGGAATCATTTTCTAGGTTTTATCCTTTGTTGGTTACTTTTTGGGGTGGTGGGGGGGGGTGGTAGGGAGGTGGGGGGGGGGTTTGGGGACGCTGCCGGGAAGGCCCATGCAAGTTGCTTGCTGGTCTTTTCTCCCCCTAATTTTTTATTTTAAATATATAACTATAATATATAAATATATCTAATGTATATAAATCCAGAGAGAACCGAGCAGAGGGTGCAACCCCCGGCAATGCAAGCAAGGGAATGGGAAGGGGGGAGGGGGGAGGGGGGGGGAAGATACGAACCCAAAGGGATGGAGACGGCTGCCTGCACCCGGTCCCATTGGGACAGCCCCCCCGTGACCCCCCCAGCTTGGGGTGCTGAGAGCAAAACGCATCTCTGGCTTTTGGGATCAGCCTGGCTTCTTGCACAGCCCCCCATCCCTCATCCCAGCTGGGGGGTGGGGAGCTGTGATTTCAGAAGGTGAGGGGCTGTGATGCGACGAGGCGATGCTCCCCCCATCCCCACAGCCGCTGCTCGTGGGCCCTTCCTGGTGGAGGCAGTGGGGAGAAAGGGGGGGGGGGGGGAGGCTGGGGGGTGAATTGGGGGGGGGGAGGGAGGTTGGGTTGGGTTGGGGTGCTTTGTTTTTTTGGTTTTCTTTTGTTTTTAGTTTTCAAATCAAATCTTGCTTAAAAAAAGGAAAAAAAAAAAAAAAAGACAAAAAGGCTGAAAAAAAAAAAAGAGGAAAAAAAAAAAAAACGGACAGAAAACAACAGAAAACAGCTCAAAGGTTTTTTATTAATTTAAAAAGAATTAAAAAAAAATAATAATAATAATCACTTTTTTAACAGCAGCTGTCCCTGCCTCTTCTCTTTGCTGGGGGAGCACAGCGCCCTTCCAAAACCACAGCCCCAACCTTGGCATTCCTTTCCAACTCGACCCCCGGCTCAACATGCAATGAGAAAACGGGGCGAAACCCCCCCGAACGTGGGGTGCAGTGGGTCTGGGGACACGCAGGTAGGGCCAGGGATGCTCCACAGAGGAAAAGCAAAGCCCATCCAGGTCTGCTTACCTGCTCTGAGCACAGCAGCGCTGGGATCGAAGGGGTGCTGGTGCTTATGGGACCAGCGGTGTGGGTGGGCACTGATGGGGTGGGGGGCTGAGCACCCACAGGTGGGGGCTGAGCTCAGTGTGTCCCAGCTGAGCCTTAACCTGTTGCTCTGAGTTCCCCCTCTTTTTGCACTGCCCAGACCCTGTTTGTTGGCGCCTCCCCCACCATCCTGCCTTCATAGCCTCACTCCCCTCCCCCCCATGGAAAACAAACCCCAAACAAACACGTCTGGGGAGGTGGGAGCAGCGCAGAGCAGCTGCAATCACTGCAGCAGTAAATCAGGGCCTTGTAAAATGTGATTTAAGTGGATGGACTGTCGGGTTCCAACGTGGCGAGGCAGGGACAGGGACATGGAGTCCCAGCTCCTGCACTGGGAGCAGGTGGGGCAGGGGATGCCCTGTGTGAGCATTCACCCCTTGGGGCTCAGGATAAAGGATGCTGCGTGTGTATGATGCTGCTCTGAGTGCATGATGGGAAAATCCCAGCCCTGTGTCCCCCTGCATCCGCACTGAGGTGCCGGTTGGAGGGGGGTGAGGGCCAGCCCCATAACCTGCATGAGCAGCAAGGAGTGGGGATGGGGGGATGGGTGGGTGGGTGGATGGATGGATGGGTGGATGGATGGATGGATGGATGGATGGATGGATGGATGGATGGATGGATGGATGGATGGATGGATGGATGGATGGATGGATGGATGTGTGGATGGGTGGATGGATGGATGGATGGATGGATGGATGGATGGGTGGATGGATGGATGGATGGATGGATGGATGGATGGATGGATGGATGGATGGATGGGTGGGTGGATGGATGGATGGATGGATGGATGGATGGATGGATGGATGGATGGATGGATGGATGGATCGATGGATGGGTGGATGGGTGGATGGGTGGATGGATGGATGGATGGATGGATGGATGGATGGATGGATGGATGGATGGATGGATGGATGGATGGATGGATGGATGGATGGATGGATGGATGGATGGATGGATGGATGGATGGAGGTAGTGAAGGACAAGGTGTCCATACAAACAGAAGAGGGATGCTGAAGGCAAAACCAACCCCATCTCTACCCTGACCATGCAGATGCATCTCATCCACTGCTCTTTATTGCTACTGGCTGCAGCCTGTGGGTCCACCCGGTGCCCATGGGTGGGTTTCAGACGGGGTTCCCCCTCCTCTCTCTGCTGTGGGGCTTTCTCTGCCCTGTGGTGGCCAGAGGTGGGGCAGGCGGCCGTGGGATGACATTGGGCGCTGCTCCAGCAGCCTGGGGGTGCCTGGGGGGAGCACAGGTGTCAATGCAGCCACTTGAAGGCCTCGGCTTTGGGGTCAGGATGGGCACTGGGTCCAGGACCCGTCCTGTTCCATGCAAGTCTTCACGCTCCCATTCTGCCCACACCCCAATCCCCCATCCCACCTTGCCAAGCTGTGAACACAAAGCCTCCCATCACCCCAACCTGCTGTAGGACACCTCGGTGCCCTCCCCACCCTGATGTCCCCAGGCCATACCTGGCCGGCTGAGTGGGGACAGGGCGCTCTGGGGCCGCACGGGCAGGAAGTTGGTGTCCTGAGCACCCCAGTGCCTGGGGGACAGCTTGGGCTTATCCTTCAGTGAGCCTGGAGGAGAGACCAGAGGAGGGGAGACATGAGAGCAGTTGGGGTCTCCACATTGCAGATTTAGGGTCAGCAGGATCACCCCACACCCCAGCTGTACCCTCCTTCCCTGCGAGGGCAGGCAGCTGAGCGTCCCACCGGCCCTTGTAGATGTGCCCATCCTGGCCCAGCAGCTCCATCTCGCCGTGCTGGGAAGGAGAACAGGGAGCAGTGCCAGTGCTGGCTGCACAGCTCAGGCAGGAGCCCCCCAGCACCGTGCTCCCAGCTGACCCAGAGCTCCCACAGCATCCCCACCACCCCTCAAACATCTCCCCAGGCAGCCTGCAGCTGTCTGTGAGGATTCAAGAAGTGTTCATGGAGCACAATGGTAGAGCGAGTTGTTGTGAAACGCCCGTATGGATGCAACTTCCCCCTCCATCTGCCCATGTGCAGCTCTCCCTGGGGAAACTGAGGCACGCTGATGCTCAGCATCCCCTCCCAGAGTTGCTCAGCCTCAGATCCCTGCCCCCTCGGTGATCCCACATCCCTCCTTCCTTAGTGGTCCCAGATCCCTCCCTCCATGAGGCCCTAAACCTCCACCTCCACGGACATCCCATTTCCTACCTCCTTGGTGATGCCGCCATGGGGTTGAGGCGGCGTGGGGCCGTAGGCTGGGAGGTGCGGGGGCCGTGGGCAGCGCTGCAGTGGGTGGATGACGGTGTGCTGCCCCCCGCAGCGCCGCGGCACCTGCAGGAACCCAGACAGGGGCCCCTGCTCCCTGCGGGGCGGGGATGGATGCTCAGGGCTGGGACCACCTCTGTGCCACAAATGATCCCCTTGTCCCTACGTCCCCCACCTGTGGCCTTGCTCTGGCTGGAAGGTGGCACGGGGACGCACGGTGACGCGGGAAGGCAGCGGTGGCAGCGGTGGAATGGTCACAATGTGCCTGGAGGACAGAGAGAGGGGGAAGGGGGGCAATGAGCCACGCTGCCCTGCGGCCATCCCCCGGGGTGTCCTGCAGGTGTGTGCCCCCCCCGGGGCTGTGACCGCATGCCCTGCTGCCAGCTCAGAGCCGGGTAGGACGGCACAGGGCAGGGTCCCACCTCCAGCACCCACCCAAACCCCAGGGACGCCCCAGAACTCACGGTCCAGGCACCAGCATGTGCAGGGGACGGTCGCAGGACACGCAGTGGAAATGGGCCAGCAGCTGCCTGCAGGGAGATCAGGGGTCGGTGGCAGCACTGGGTGCTGCAGGAGGGATGGACTCTTGGGGTCCTGCTTGGGAATGTGGCTGCAAAAGGGGGCACTCGGGGTGCCACGAGTCCCATGGGTCCATGTATTCCATGCATCTCTCCTGTCTCTAGGAGCCTGGGACAAGTTCTGCCACCTGAATACCAAGGAAACCAGCAAAGGGGTAATGGAAACCCTGGCTGTGCTGTGGGGTCTGTCTGACAGCGAGCGTGGCAAATTTAAGGGCCTCATGTCGTGATCCTGTGTTAAATCCCTGCCCCAAGCTCCTCGGTGCAGCAAGGAGGCACACAGGGCTGTGTGCAGGAAAAAAAGAACAGGCAGAAAAAGGCACAAATTCCATCTCCACATGGAGAGAGCCTTCCCCTCCGCTGTCCCCAGTGCACCCACTTCCGAATCCCTGCAGCATCATCAGCCTCCACCCGCGGTGTTTTCTCCTTGAGCTGCTTCAGGATGCTCCTCCAGCGCTCCTCCAGCTGCTGCCGCAGCGGGGCCAACTCCAGGCGATCCAACTGGGGGTGGGCACAGAGCCTTCGTGTCCCCATCAACGCCACCAGAAGGAGGCAGGAGGGACGGGGAAAGGCAGGAGGGCTGACCGTGCTCAGTGGGTTGCTCAAAGCCCAGCTGTGCCCACTCCTCCTATGGCGGGGACGACCCTCCCTGTACCTTGGAGTCCAGCTCCTCAATGAGCTTCTGCTGGACCTGGTGCCAGTCCTGCTCCTGCCCCGTCACCTTGCTCAGCATCTCCCCGATCATTCCGTTCAGCTGTTCCATGGCTGCATCAAACTGGGCACAGCTGACTTTGCCGGCCAGGGCGGCTCTGTCTGCTTTCTGGGATGGGGAGATAGCAGAGCACCATGAGGTCCTGGCCGTGCCACTCTCCCTTCCCACACTGCAAAGCACAGGGATGCTCTGACATCTTACCACGTCGATCTCCAGCACAAGCTCCTCTTTGTCCACCTTCTCCTTTTCCAGCCTTTCCAGGGACTGGAACAGAGCCTGCAAACACAGAACGGCCCCGCTCACAACCACCTCCCCTGCTCCCCTACGCCTCTGTGATTTCTGTAGGGCTATAAGCAGTGGGGCTGCCCTCAGGATGCTTCAAGCCCCACCTCAATGTCCCTCTGCCTCTGGTGGCGGTCATCCATGAGGTTCCCAGTGACAGAGCTGAGCTTCTCGCAGTCCCCTTGCACCTGAGTGACAGCAGCCTGGATGTGCTTCAGCAGCTCCTCGTCCTGCTTTGGGGAGGAAGACAGCAGCCCAGCGCCGTGTGAAGGACGCACGACGGGAGCCGTGCAGAGCAGACACAGGTTATCGGGCCGGAGGCTGCGACACCAAACCCAAACTCGCCCCAAAGCAAACCGGGGTGGGGTGCAGCACTTCCCTACCTGCTCCCTGCCCGCCCGCTGCCTGCCCGCCTTGCCCGCCGCCTGCCGTGCTGACACCGACTCCACCAACTCCTGGAGCTGCTCGTAGCGCTGCAGCAGCCGCCCCAGCTGTGCCCCCACATCCGTGCTGCACACCGGGCACGGGGCCTCATCCTGCTCTGCGCTGCTGGGGGGCTGCGTGGTGCTGCCCAGCACGGAGCGCAGCTCGTCCAGCTGTAAGGGAGAGGGGTGCTGTGGTGGCCCCGAGGGTCGTCCCTACAAGGGTGGCTCTGTGTCCCCTCCTCGCATCCCCACCTGCTCCTGCAGGCCGTTGGCAGTGTCGGCCACCAGCTGCTCCAGCATGGCTTTGGCTGCATCCTGCTTCTCCCTCAGCTCCTTCAGCTCCCTCCTCATTTCCTGCAGCGCAGACCTAGCCAGCAGGATGGGCGCATGGATGGAACCCCCTCCTGGCCCTCACCATCAGCTCTGCTCTCCTCTCGGGAGCAGCAGACCCTCTCCCATTTTCTTACCCCAGCTGCAGGCTGCCGTCCACTTTCCCATCGGCCCCCATCACCCCCAGCTTCCCGAAGGCGTCCTGCAGCTGCTCGATCTGGGAACAGCAGTAGCACGTGGTCCATGTGCGTGGCTCCTTTGGTGACCTCTCCCTGCCCACCCCAGCGCTGCTGCCCGCTCACCTTCTCCTTCTCTCCATGCAGGTCGCTGGCCATGCCCTGCAGTGCAGACACGCGGCGCCAGAGGTCGGTCAGCACGCTGGCGATGCTCTCCTGGCCTGGAGGGATGCGATGCCATCAGGGTCTGGCTCCAGCTGCCACCAAACCTCACCTCCAGGTGTTCCCATTGAGAAACCCCCTCCAGTTCAATGGAGAGAACGCAACCCACTGGGCTGAGCCCCCAGACCCCCATCACCACCACCCGTAGGGCCCAATGTGTTCCCACCTTCCTCCAGGAAAGGCAGACGCAGCTCCTCCAGCTCGGTGCGGTCTGACTTTGTGGCCTCCAGCTGGGCCACCCGCTCCTCCAGGGCACTGCAGAGGTGGCTGAGCTGCTTGAGAGCCTCCGCTGTGCCCACGTCATGGCCAGAGACCTCAGGCATTGCCAGCCCTCGTGCAAGGGATGTGGAACCAGTGTCGATGCCAGGGGACGTCTCAGCTCCCAGAGCAGTGGGTGATAAGAGCTGCAAAGCTTCATCTCTGCCCTTGGAGCGTACATCATCCACCCCTGCCCCCATGGCACCGGGGGTGGCTTTGGAGGGGACGGTCTCAGTGTGAGGTGCTGTGCTGGGTGGGGATGGCTGAGCCCCCACTGCTCCTCCTTGGGACCACGGGGGTGCTGGCTGTGTCCCCAGGGTGCCAGGGGACCCTGGCTGTGTCCCCAGGGTCATGGTCTGTGCACCAGGGGACCCCGGCTGCATCCCTGGAGTGGTGACCTGGGTGCCAGGGGACCCTGGCTGTGTCCCTGGGGTGGTGGCAGTGACACCAGATGTCCCTGCTTGATCTGAGGCAGTGCCTGCCCACTTCTCAGGGGTCTGTGATGCCCTCCTCATCTTTGCTTGTGCCCCCAGGGAATCCGGCTGTGTTCCTGCAGTCTCTCTGCCAGCCGTGGGCACAGACTGTGTCCCCGGTCCCCCTGCAGGTCTCCTCAGGCCGTCCTCATGTTGGGTGTCATCATCAGACTCAGAGGATTCAGAGGATGAAAGTCGGTCCCTGTCAGCTCCCTGGGAAGAAGAAATCATGGGAAGAGAGCCTGTGGGCAGGCTGAGCCTTGGGGTGGGGACACGAGGAGCCACTGTGACTGGGGACGTGGGGAGCACTGTGCCGTGTGCCCTGGTACATCCACTCCTACCAGCACGGGCTCAAGGTGCTTTTGTGGCCGTCCCACATCACTGTCTGACCTCGCTCCATCACGGCGGCCCCACTGCTGTGCCGTGGTGTCCTGGCCATCCTCCTGAGAAGGCAGCACAGAGCAGGGATTTAACGGGACCACCCCAAAGGGATTCAGGCTGGGTGTCCTCACCCACAGCCCAACCGGGTGGGGAGCGAGCAGGGGTGCAGCAGTGGGGTGATGTGGAGTGGGGCAGGGCTGGATGGAGGGGATGGGGGTGACTCACCAGGCCCAACATCCCCTTAATCATCCGCAGGTCCTCTCCCATTTGGGATTGTGCTGCCTTCATCCCACCAAGTTCCTCGAGGAGGTCCTGGGAGAGGGGCAATGCGTGGAAGGGAGAGGAGGTGGGGAACCCCACAGCCGTGCTGGGGCCTCTTAGTGCCCGGCTGCATCAAACCGTGCTTTGAGACCAGCAAAATCCAATCTACAGAACGGCACCCTGCAAAACCTTTACCTTGGAGCCCCTGAAGTCATCGCTATCCTTTCCTTCGCTCTCCTCCTTCAGCGCATCAGGCGCTGTGGAGCTGCTCGCAATGCCCCGCTGCTCGGCACGCTCCCCGGGTGCCGCTGCCCGCCCCGCGGCCGGGAGGTGCTGCATTCCCAGGTGCTGCAGCATGGCGCGCAGCAGGCTGTGCAGCGCCGTGAAGTTGACGGCCCCGATTTCGGGCGTCCCGATGGCCGCGTCCAGCAACTCGGATAGACTGAGCGAGGCCATCGCCGCGAGGAACGGAGAGCGGCCTGCGGGGGTCGAGGGGCGTCAGGGCGAGCGGGCAGAGCGCCCAGCGACTGAATCTCACCCGTAGCAGAAGGCGGGCAGCGCAGGGCCCCCCGGGGCAGGGCTCCGGTTGTAGGGGAGCCCTCTTTACCGCTCCCCCCGACGGCTCAGCCTCTTCTCCATCTCCCCGGCACCCCCAGCTCGGTTCTGTCCCCCCCCGCTGCTACTCCCACCCCCACTCCCCGTTCCCCCCCAGCCCGCCCCCTCCCCACGCCCGGCACCTCCGGCCCCGCACGCTCCGGCATTAGCCCCGCCCCCCGCACTGAGCCCGCCCCTTCCCCTTTCTCATTGGCCGCCGTCCCCCGCGCCCGGCAGCTCATTGGCCGCGGCAGCCGCCCACGTGTCGGTGTTTACTGGAGACGGGACCGGAGCGTTCCCCCGTTGCTACGCGACGCGGTGACCCGGAGCCGCGCGTCGCCACCGCGCAGCGCTCGTTTCCATTTCAATGCAGCGGGGATTCACGCGGCTCCCGCGCTGTGGGACACCGCCGTGCTGCCGCAATGCCTCCCCGCTGAAGTTGGGTTGAGAGGCGGCAGCTCCTCCGCCCGCGGGCAGCACAGCTCAGTACTCAGCAGGGACCTACAGCATCAGAGCAAAAACAAAAGGAAACGAGCGCGCCGAGCTGCTTTCTGTCTAACCTTGAGCTCCAGCACCTGGCAAAGCCAGCAGCAGCAGCTCTATGCCGTGCAGGGTCCATTCACGCTGCAGGAGGCACCCGGTGCACGCAGCTGTGAGCGCTGTGAAGGCACAGAGCCGCGTTGCAGCAGGAAGAGCACAGCAGCACTGCTGCAGTGACAGCTGATGGGGGTTCAGGCAGTGGAAGGGGGGCAGAGTTGGCTCAGTGCTAGACGTGCACTGGGGCAAAAGTTGAAGGGAACAGAAAAGCAGTGCTGCTCCTCTCCTGCAGCCCAGCTCGCAGGATGGAGCACAGCCCAACGCAGGCATTCAGTCATTCCGTTCAGCAGTGCTTCAGCCCAGCACTGCATTACCAGCCCCAGGCCTAAAGAGCTCCCCAGCCCTGCACAGCCGCTGTGGGAGGAGTGCTGGATTCCATACAGGACCTCACTGCGCTCAGGGCTGGGCTTTCCCACCCCCTCCCCAGCCCTCAGACAGGACACCATCCTGCAAAACAAACCCCAACAGCTCAGGCAGGTTTGTCTGCATGCACTGAAGGCTCTGCCTTCTCACAGCACCCCTGCTGGCCCCGTGGCACCGTTCAGATCCCCATCTCTGAAATAGGATGAGACAGGAGAGACAGCCCTCCACCAGCAGGCTGCCTGCTGCAGGCTTTGTTCATCACACCACCAGCTAGAAGGTAGTACAGGCTTTACTGCAGCATGTTTATTTGCTTCATTGAGGGGGAAGATCACAGTTTGGGAACTTCTCCTTGTATCAACCTGGAGATGATGCCCTCCACAAGCACTGCACGCTGCTTTCTCCAGCGTCCCCTCCGGCCAAGGATTTGTGTCACTCAAGAAAGGAACAAGTAGCAAGTCCTGCTTCCCCAGGGAAGAAGGCGACAAGCTGCCAAGAGAGCCTACTTACAGCAGAAGCCTCATGGTTCAGACACAGCAGCTGTTCAGAGGGTAAAGGGGTCACTGCAAGCACCAAAAAAGGAGAAATCCCATGCATTTTATCGCAGGTTGAGTGTTATTGTTTCAGAGAGCTCAGCTGTGCTGGAGGCAGACGCTGCTCCAACCCCCACCCCGAGAAGATTCTGCCCTCATTCAGTAACTTCAGGCAGCTCCAGGAATCACGCCTGGTGTTGCAGGGCAGACAAGTGTTCGAGTGCTGACCCAGAGCCCCACACGACTTTGCAGTGAAGCACAATAACGACCCAAGGCTCACAGAATGAAACGGCCCAGCACCCCTGGCCCTGCTGGGAGGGACGTGCGAGCCTGTTCCCAGCGCCCCGAGCAGCCCTGCACTGACACAACTGAGCTGCCCTTTCTGCTACCTTGGATCTGATGAAAGCGCTCGCTATGCCATGCAAGAGAGCACAGGGTGCTCAGCTGGCTCTGCTCTGCCAGCAGTGAGTGGAGCAGCCCAGCAGCTCAGCGAGCCGTTCCTCTCTGTGCTCAGGTAAGCCACAATCAGAAACAGAAACCCAAACGTTGCTTCCTCTTGCAATCCACACGCAGCAACGAGCGCTCTCTATTCCTTTCTCAGAAGCTGACAGCTATTCTTTTCACACTTTTCTTCTCCCCCCACCCTTCAGAGCAAGTGATAACACTAAAAAAAAGAATTAAAAAATAAAAATGGAGTTTAAAAATTCAAACCTTCCTCATTTCTTCATTTCTCTCAGAGTTGTAAACCCTCCCCACTGCCAGTGGCCTCTTCTGTTCAACTGTAAAGTGCTGGTCAGGTTGATCTTTTTCTATTGGATCTCATGGCTCAAGACCCTGAGAACTCTCACCCTTCCTACAAGAATAAACGGTTGTGTTACGCCTATAATTTATGGAATTGCCTTTTCATGCATTTCTCCTTCTCCTGTGGAAGCCAGGACGGGGGCAGGGGCAGCTCTAGTCATCAACAGTGATGTTGCGGAAGAGATAGGCCATGGACTCGCCGTTGTGGATCCGCCGGATGGCCTCAGAGAGAATCAAGCTGATATCCACAGTCTTTATCTTGGGGCACTGCAGCTTCTGTACTTCGTGAGGAACTGTGTTGGTCACCACCACCTATGGAGTGCCAGAAAGAAAAGACCATCAGCTGCGTTGCTGATGCTTCGTTCTCACTGAGCTGCTATCCCAGCTCTGCAGGGCACACCTGCAGCTGCACAGGCTGAGGAATCCATGTTTAAATTAATTAATTCCATCAGTTAATTAAAACAGTCCAACTGTTCAGAGGACCGCTGTGACCAGCAGCCTATGACAGCTACCACCAGCAAGGTGGATTGGCCCATTTAGAGCACAGGACCTGATGTATTTTGTCACCAAGATTCGGGTCCAAACGTTTTTCCTCACAAGGCACCCATTGGCCCATCAGCACTGGGGGAAGAGAGGGGCAGAAGGCCTGTGAGAAAGCAGTCACACACAGCAGCTGTGCTGAGGGAAATGCCCAGGCAGGGATGGCTCATCCACACACCCTGCAGTTCAAATTGATGCCCACCTCATCGATGGAAGACTCCTCTATGAGACGGGGTGCATCTGCAGACAGGAGCCCATGAGTGGCCATCACAAAGATCTTGTAGGCTCCACGCTCCTTCAGGATCTCTGCAGCAGCTACAAAGCTTTCCACGTCATCAATGATGTCATCCTGAGAAGAAACAGAAACGGCATCAAACCCAGAAGCTGCTCGTGCCTGCAGTGCAGAAATGGGTCTGCAAGGTATTGTGGCTTTGGCCCTGAACAAAGGAAAAAAAATAATAATCCTCAGGCAATTTCAGCTGCTGTTTAGATGTAAAGCCAAAGTCTGTGAATAGCATGGAGCACATTACAGATCCTTTTGAAGAACACCAATATTGTGTTTTGGAAACAATAAGGTCCCAGCACACATAAGCAGCACAGAGCTTATCTTGAGCAAGGTTGTTTTTTCCTTGCTGTAGTAGCTGCATGATAATTGTTGCACAGCAGCATGGCACAGGATGTATGAGAAACTCTGCAAGGTTTTTTGTTTGTTTCAAATCCTTTAGGAGATCTCTTCACATATCCTAGATTTGTTGAAGCTCTGCAGATGTTGATATTTGTAGATTCAAGGGGACAAGAAGATTCGGGGTTTTCCGAGGCTGCACTGTGAACAGTTCTCAACAGAAAGTTGAGAATAAAGAAGGAAACCAAAGTCAACAGCAAAACCAGAGAAAGAAGTGACAACAATCACATTCCCACCAGCAGCCCCTCCTACCCTCTGGGACAGTGCAGCTCAAGGAAACAAGCTGAAAGCAAACCATCCCCACCCACTCCTCTCCATCATCTCGTACCACAATGATGGCAATTCTTCCTCCGACGTCTCCAACCACAGTTATTGGTGGTTTCTCCTTGGCCATCATCACTAAAGAAGAAAGAAACAAAAGCAGTCAGTCAGCCTCGAGTCCAACTGCAGCAGCCCCACTTAGCAGAGCCTCACGGTGGTGCACAGACACAGACGTGCTCTACATCATCCTGATCCCCACCACAGTGGGTAACCATGCTTTAACCACTGCCTTTCTCTTTAAATAAATAGCACTGCTGCTCGAAGATGAAGCTCAGTTTCTGCAGGGACCAACTATTCATCTCTGTGACAGAAGCAGCTCCAAACATCTAACAGACCCTTGTGCAAGAGTGCTACAACACAGACCTCGCTGGTGGGTAATGGCAGCGACTCCAAAACAGGACCTGGGGAAAGGAGCCTCACGGCTGGCAGCAACCCATGGGCCTCTCTGCACAGCCCTTCTCCAAGGGCACATGGTTTGCAATGCTCCATTCTTCACTGGCTGTCACTGATTTGTCTCAAGGATTTGACTCAGCAGCTTGCTTGCTTTCTCTGGTATCACCAAACGTGCAAGGATCTCCCAGGTAATGGAAGCACCTTACCAACACCTGCACAGGCAAAGGAAACCCCAGGCAGCTTTCAGAATCTGCTGAGTATTTTTAAATGAGTTAACAGAAAGAGCAGGATAACATTCAGTTCCAACTCGGTTCTACAACCACAGTGCAACCAGTAAGTGGAAGCAGAAATACATGTCGATGAGCTACGCTGACACACGGTCAAGAGATGGGCCAGGAAACAAGGTTCCACACTTTGCTGACTCTACTTTTGCACCAACAAGGCTCACGCAGAAAAAACTACACGTGGAACAGCCTTTATCCTTCATCCTGAAAAACCCCCAGCAGCAGCATGGGAAAAAAAGGAAGGAGACACAAACTAGGAAGCACTGTTCAGATGTGACACGGCCTTCAGACTCCTGCCAGCCAGGGATCAGCTCCAGCACTGGATGGGGACGTGCTACCAACACTCCATGCCTCTCACTTGCCAGAGGGTGCTTGGGTATGCAGTAAGCACTGCAGGAAAACTCACAGCATGGCAAGGACACAGTGGTGGCTATGGAAGTTTCATCAGGTGACAGTCTGAGCTGATCTAACCACTGCAGCAAACAACACCTCACGTTCTGTAACACCCATGGGCCCGCAGCCCCCAGCTTTCATGCTATCTACAAGGCATGCAGCCAAGTGTCCCACCAGGGATGCTCCTCTTTGTAAACTTCTGGCCACAACAGATTCCTGAATCCAGAGGAGTTTTAGACCTAGGAAAAACATTTTGCTATCTATCGTAAGACAACCTACTGCCATGCAGTAATTCACACTTGAGACACGAGCTGCTGCCCATCACAAAGCCTTGTCTGAGCACTGATTTCTGCCCTCCTGGGTCAGAGGAGTCCTGCACGAAACTCCCCATCCTGCACAGCAGGCTGATCCAGTACTGTTCCCACAGCTCATCAGGGCCTGGGAACACTCACAGTCCATGCACAGCAGGGTGAGTCACACTGAGGGATGTGATGAAAGCAGTTATGAGAGCACAGCTCCAAGGACTCGTGTGCAGTGCTGTGCTTCATGGGCACAACGTGCTCTGCTCCCTGGTCTCCCTTAGGCCCCTCAGAGCTGCACAAAAGGCACCCAATCCCTCTGCTCTGCCAGAGGAACGTTACTCCTTGCAAAGCAGTGTGAATCAGAACACCCAGCTACCCAGAGCTCAAGGGTTAACTGCTCCCAGCTACCCAGAGCTCAAGGGTTAACTGCTCGTTGCACTGCACATTCCTCAGTCTCTGCATTGTTATTCTTGAGTCTCTTATCAAATGCAAAGTCACGTCTAAATCCTGAAGGGAAAATACTCTTATGAGGAGGAGGAGGAGAACTTGTAATAAACTCGGATTAAGCTTCAGAAGAGATAAGCAGACCATAGATTTCAATTACAGGCACTACCTACCTGCTCAGATTAGTTATTAACAAAACTCCAGGTGGGAGCTATGGAAAAAATCAGAAGGATTACATCTGGCTGCCATTCCGTCCTGCGTGTGCACCCAGAGCGCCAGCTCTGTTTACAAGAGCCAGCATAGGGACAACTCTCAGCCATAGTTAATGGATACAGGAACTGAAATTCAGCACTGTTTTACTGACAATCACATGAAGTTTCAGCAGACCTGTGCCCTCCCAGTTCCATGAAGGAAGCAAATACATTCCTTGCTATGCTCAAAGGCCAACCAAGCAGCTAGCAGCATGAGCAGTGCTTCACATCTTTTGTCTGCTTTATTTTTCAAGTATGGTAGGCAACGTGTCGACCTACCCGGATCCTAAAGAGAGGTTCTCCCTTTTTCTTGTTCAATTTTCTCTGCAAAGAAAAGAAAAAAATTGCAAGCCAAGATCCACCCACAACCAACCACATCAAATTGCAAGAGAACTTTGATCACTGCAACGTGATGAGAGCGTATGCAAGGGTTACTGTGGCCAACTTCTTTTTCTTCCAAGTCTTTTGACATTATCTGTGTGTGCCCATCAGAGCTGATACAAGAAGGTGGCTTGAAAAATAGTTCCAAATAGTGAAGAGCAGCCTCTTCCCAAACACAAAACCCTTTGATTATTGTGAGTTTAGGTCAAAAGCGTTGCTACTTTTTCCTGGTAAGTCAGAACAGATGCTTGCTGCTTTGGTAGCTTTAGGAATACAAGAGAAAACAGCCATCATTTTTACAGCACAAGGATTTAAAGAACATGGGGGTGCTGGGGAATGAAGCCCATCAGCCTAACCTGCACCGTCAGCCTGCTGTGAGTGACACACACCAAGCACCACGTGTTGAAGGTGAGATGACCATGGCACGAAGCAGCACAATTCCCAGGTGCTTAAAGCCACTGCTTCAGTTAAGCAGTCAAAAATGGGTTAAGGAATGCTAAAAGAAATTCTGTTTGGAGCTGAACGTTATCATCACATGTATTAAAGCAATAATCACTGGGTGAAATAACAGCACATTGACCACAGAGCCTGGGAACAAAAGGCTCCTCCAAAACTGTTACACAGACAGAGCTGGAAGGACAGGTGACATTCCTGCAGCCCAGCCAGGACACGGATAAGAGATGGGGGGAGAACATGGGAACAGACCCAGGATCACCCCAGTTCTCCCATCCAACTCTCTTCTCTCACAGCAGCTGGCTGGGCTCTGGGTTTGAAGCTGACCATTGCCTCTGTGGAGAAAGCACCACACTTCCAATCCTCTGAAACAAATGAACACGGGGTGCTCTGCACCTCTTCTTTAAGATGAGGATGCAAAGTTTCCACACGTTTGCTGCAGCACAGCCCCAAGCCAGCTGCAGGCTTTCAGACACACAGTGCCTGATCAAAGAGAGCAGTTCTGAGTGACATCCTGCCTCAAAGGCTCTGGTTTCTGATGCTGGAGTGACAAACACTTGGAGCTCCTGCTGCCACTTCAGCACAGCACTTGAGGAAGTGTGTCTGGAAACACCTCTGGCATTCCTGCAATAGCTCCACGTGCCACCTGATCAGAGCATCACATCAGCTCACACTCTCAGGACAATAAATAAGCCACGATGCTGCATAAGAATTATTAATTAAAGGCACATGATTGCTATTAGGACAGGGAGGAGAGGTGCGTGCCAGCTGCAGGAGCCTGGCCAACTCACTAGAAAGCCCACAGGGAATTGCAGGAAGCATAATTGCTCTGGGACTGCTCCCAGCCCTGGGTTTTACCTCAGTTCTGGTTGTGACAGTGCCCCTGGGGACCCCAAACTGTGGAGACAGGAGAGGGAGGACGCTGCACACCAACATCCATGCAGCCCACAGCGGGGCCCTCAGCCTCAGCAGCCCCCCAGGAGCGTTGCCACTTCCCAAGTGTTTGTGGCACCTGGGCCAGGCAGACCTGCAGACTGACTGCTTTGGCAGCCAGAGGCTTTTTTGGCCTGTTCACAAACACACACACACACACAGCCAAGCCATGTTTTACTCTGCCATCAAACCTTGTGATGCTGAGACTGCTGGTGATGGAATAACACAGGAAGAGCTGATCAAGGGTTTTGTTTAATGCCCCACTTGAGGTGGGAAGCCACCTTTCCAACAATTGAATCAGACAGGAAGGGAGGTTTAACACTCACAGCACTGCCATCTTTAACCCTGCCACACAGATAACAGATGGGTGGCGGAGGATAAAAGACAGGTAGGATTAAGTAGCAGCTTACAGACTGCCCTCAGACAGGTACAGCTCAGCATCCTGCAGCTCCAGTAACAGAGCCCAGCTCACACTCAAAGCCAGGCATCTAGTAAGGTTAGAAAACAGGAGATAAAAAACAGTTTTCTTCAGAGAGTTTTGGACAAGCTTGCAGCATAACCCTCCCACCTCCGTGACAGACAGCAGCCAAGCTACAGATTGATTGTCTGACATGTGCCTCAGGTCATTAGTCAAGTGCAGAGCTTCTGCAGGAGATGAATAGTGGTGGTACACAGCAAATTAGTTTGTTTGGATAGCTGAGGACTGAAAACATTCTCTCACTGAAATCATAACTGAGCTGGACAAAGGCAAAGTTCTGCATGAGCTGACACTGATGGGGCTGCACAGCAGCGCCAGCTTCCGCAGCTGAGATTCCTTGGAGTGACACAGCTGGAAAGAAAGACACAGTGGCATCAATTCCCTGACAGCAGACAGATGTGAGCTGGAGGATGGAATCCCTTCAGAGTAGGACAAGAAGGAAAAGGCCAAGGGCAACCGTGCAAATTCCTGCTTTGCTGCAAGTGCACGAAGAAATCTCCTATCAGAAAGGAGACGAGCAAGATGAAGTTCCAAACATCACTGCCAAACCCCACCTGTCCCCCAAGGCCCAGGAGGAGTTTCACCAACAACATAAGCTTTGTTTAACTGATTTCATTACGGCAAGCAGGACTGGGCTAATGTAAAATGCCTGCAGTCTTACTCGCCTTCCTCCTCCCTGACTTGTCCTCAAACTGGTTGGATGTTCTCCCCAGACTTCAAAAGACAGGAGGAGCTGCTTATCAGTAGCCCCAGCCAAAACCAGTATAATCAAGCTGGGCTGCCTGATAGATAGCTCTTTATCACACACAGCAGCATGCTGCATTTCCCACAGTCAGCTCCCAGCCTCATTCACTGCCCCCATCACTTCTGTCCTATCACCATTTACCTAGGAAACTAAAATCCTTCCAAACAGGAGCTGGATTCTGACTGTATTGTTATTGTTTGACTGCTGCTATTGCAAGAATACAAGCAGTGCTAGTAGGACCACTTTTCCCAGAATATATTTCCTGCTGTTTTCTTTGCACTGTGCTCTCAAGAGCAGCTTATCAATTGATAGCAAGAGCAAAGGAATCAGCCCAACAGTGCTCCCTAAGAACCTACTCACACCAGCCACACAAGCATCAGAAGTATGTCAAAACAGACACTGCAAGGTGACTGCGTGGTTCTCCAGATAAAGAAAGCCTCCAGCAGTAATGATGGCTGGAACAAGAGGGGAAAGCAGAGTCCAACCCATCCCTCCAAGATGAGGACAGCAGCCTGTCTCAATGTCTGCTCCCTTGTTAGTTCCACTTTTGCACTTCTTGTTTGATTTTAATGAGTTCATTATTCTGCAAGCTTCGAGCAGAACTTTTTCAGTCTGGCACAGCTGACTGGTCACCCCAACAGGAGCAATCCTGGTGCTGTGCATGGCCACTAGGAGTTAAACAAGGACTTCTCCCTGTACCTCCTCCAGCTATTTGCTACCATCGACCTTTCCATGAGAAAAATTCCACTCGTCCAGCCGCCCTTAGGCTGATTACACCTAACAGCCTCTTTCTTTCCCCTCAAGCATAAGCAGAGAAGCTCGATCTTACATGGCAGCTCCAGACCAGGATGCACAGTTGCATTTTTGACCATGGGAGGGGAGTGACGTCCATCATCCATGTCCTGCTCTGTGCACTGAGCCTCGCCGTGGATCACTGCCAGCCCCAGCCGCAGCCTCTCAGCGTAAGACTGAGCCCTGTGGGACAAGCACAGCAGGTCAGCAAGATGCTGGGCTGCAGCAGCTTCTCAGCCCAGCGAAGCAGAACTCTCCCACAACTCCCCCTCTCCACCAGGCAAACAAAGGCTGCACAGTGGTTTTAAGAGACAAAAGCCTCTTGGATCAGATTGGTGAGTTATTTGCACACCCTCCCATGTTTTCCCCCTGCTGTATTTCCCCATCAGCCCAGATTTTTTTCTGAGCTAATTTTAACCAGCTAGTAAAGAATCTGTTTACCTTTTAGCTGCATCAGGAGACTTGGCCACAATAACGGCGTTTCTATAATCTGGAATCTGGATGTGATAAAAAACTATTTAAGTAAAGATCTTGAGAATGCACAACTGATTTGACAGGCAGCTTTAGAACAGCTTCCCCCACCCCCAAATCTTCATTCTGTGGTAAGAATTGCAAGGCAATTGCACTCCTCAACATCAGCACTGCATATTCTATGCAAAACAATACAAATAGGTTTAACACTGGGCAAGACCACACATGATGCAATCTTTTCACAGGTCCCACTGTGTACAAGACTGCAGTTAGGTGCCTCCTTTCATTACTGGCATCTGCAGGGATCACCTGCAGTGCTAACTGCAGCTGCCTGAGACGCACAGCACAGGGAAGGGAAGGTTTAGCAAAGGCTCTGGGCCCACAGGCTTCAGCTTGCACAGAGCAGGTGTCAGTTTTGTGCTCAAAATGAGCAAGGGGGGTGGGGGGGGGGTTAAACAATGGATGGCACCAGATGTGGGCCCAATGCAGGTTGAAAGCCAGGGCTCCCCCCCATGGAGAAGCACTGCTCTCACCACACCACCAGAAGTCATAATCTTGTGCGTTTGGGAGGTAAAGCCTCCACTCCCAGGCCCCCCATGCTCAGCATTCCTGAGCACAGCCCAAGATAAAGTCTATCAATAATTCAGATCAGCCAGACATCCAAAGCAGAACAAAGGGTGAGGAAAGACAGTTTAACAGGATTTAAGAGGTGGTGAGAGGCAGGAGCACAGATAGCATCTCTCAAACAGCACTAGCTCCATAGAGAGCAATGAATTTCAGCTGAGGGCTCAAGTTCCTCTTCTGTTTACGGTCAAGAACTCGACTTCTATTCCAGTACAATCACACAATCTTATTTAACATAACATTTTCTCACTTCCTTGAGAAATATGCAAGATGTATTCCCTAAGAAAAAATACAATAAAAATGAACAGAACAGTTAATGTAGCCTGACAGCACAACCTCTGCATAAGCAGCACCTCAACTCTGCTACTGCATTAAGACAAGTGGATATATACAGAACTAGAGTAACCTCACTTCTTCCTGTATGTACTGAATCAAGAAAGGGGATGCTCTCAGGTTGTCTACAGGGAAGCTGAAGAAGCCTTGAATTTCCTTCTGATGAAGATCCATAGTGATGATGTGTGTTAAACCTAAGAAAAGAACAACAAAATAATTCATGGAGACAACTCCCACGTGGCTGGAGTTCCTGAAGCATCTCCACTTTGCAGACCAGTGTGCCATGAGTTAAAATAAGCTGAGGAAGGTAACGTGAAGTTTCAAAGACGTGATAAGAACTGTATGAATGCAATAGGAGTCACAGCACCAGGCTGACAATGCATCTCAACGTGACACTTCTAGGCCACCTCCCCAGCCATGAGTTCAAGAAAGAACAAACTGAGGAAAACTATCTCCCAGAAAGGAGCTCACAGGTCTGGCAGCACATCTGTACATCTGATGGGGGACAGAAGGACGGCACCCCTCGGATGCCCACAGCACTCACCTGCCTTGGCAAGCATGGATGCCAGCAGCTTGCAGACTATGGAGCCTCTCTTCCTCATTTTGCTCTGTTTGCTGTAGGGGAAGTAAGGAATGACCCCAATGATGTTCCTGGCACAGGAAGTCTTCAGTGCATAAGCCATTATCAGCAGCTCCATCACAGCAGTATTCACATCCCTGTGAGATTTCAAGATCATCCCAAATATTAGCAGCAGTACACCCATCCCCCTCTCTCCTCACCAAGCTTTCACATAAATTGTGCTCTACTTTATGCCAGACCCACACTGTAATCCCACAGCTCCTTCTGTTGTGCCACAGCACACTGCAATCAGCTGCTGTGTGCACAGAATTTGACTCCAACATAGAAGCTGTGGAACAGCATTTGGTTTTTGTATCCTGAGATGAGGTGTGTGATGACTTCCTCCATCACCACAAAGAAAAAAACGCCCCCCCAACTTATCTCCTGATTAAAGTAACAGCACTACAAACCCCAGCCATCTTTATTTGGAAAGAGAACAAAAAAGTGATGGAAGCAGAAAATACATATAGATCACAGAAGGAACACAGACAAAACTCTATCTTCAGTTAGCTTCACCACGATGACCAGTGTGGTAGGAGTGCATTCATCTGCATCTGACTTCATTTTGGAAAGTGAGGAAAAAAAAGACATTGGCCAAGGCCTTTCAATTCCTTATAACCAACACCAAGGGAAGCCCAAATTCCACACATTGTCTGCATTATCACAGAGCAACTCCAGACCAAAAACTGAAGAATCCACCCTTGCTCACGTTTTCCAGCTGCCCCAAACGACACACTACATCTCCAGGGCAGGAGGGCAGTGCTGCAGAGCCACAAGATAAGCAAGCAGAAGCTGACCTGGCCATGCAGCAGAGCAGCAAGCAGCTCCTGGCCACCCCAAGAGCTCAGACACTTGTTCCTCTTCACATGCCACACATCACAAATCAATAACTCCTTCCATTCCTCCACTGCTCCCCACTCCTTTGTGAACTAACCTCCATTTGCAGCCCTCTTGTGCGTGCTCTGTGTCCCTTTATTCTCCTGCTGGCTCTGGCAGCCCCCGTGCACAATGCTGCTCACACACAAGAAAGCTCTGTTGGCCCCGAAGCATCCAGCCAAGAATTACATAAAACAGAATCCCTGCCACACAGGACAGCAAGCTAACAAAGAACCACTTCTTCCCTTTGCTGTTTCAGTTGTGCCAGGGTGGCTGGGAAAGGAGAAAAAGATTCTGCTATCGGTACAGAATAAAAACAAAGTGGCCAACTTGAAGTCTGTTTGAAGGTCACCCCAGAAATCCAATACCTTTTTCATTATCGCTTCTCAAGTCACTTTAAAACAAAACAGAAGGAACAGAAAACAGACAGAACTGCTTCTGTAAGAGGTTGCCCTCATTTCAGGAGGTACCAGCAGCCCCGGAGCTGTGCTGGGATCCTGGCAGCAATAACCCCACACCAGAGCAGGGAGTGCTGGAGGAGGAACATGGATGCTCTGTGTCCCTCATAGTCCACAGTGCGTTCCTCGTCTCTACCACCACCACTCTGCCCAGCAGCTTTCTGATATGACACACTCTTGGTACAGGCAACAGTAGGCAGGAAGGAGATTCTGAGCTTAAACAACTCATCATGGAAAGCACCACCTCCTCCTCCTTGTTCTCACAGAGCAGAGCCCCCAGACCTGTTCCAGGCCACTCAAATCCAAATATCTCCAGCAGATTTTCTCTTTACCTTCCCTTGCTCAGTGCTAAGCTACTTATTTTTGCCTAACCAGCACTAAGCTAGTTATTTTTTCCTCATACAAATGCAAACCCACTCTAGCAGCCTCAGATGATACCTGTCACTGTAACTGCTGGACTTCTGCCATATTCGTTTTGGGCAGGGAGCTTGCACCAAATATCTGGGTCTTTCTGTTCTCTCTGTGCACTTCAGCTGCAGGCTGTGGATTCACACTGCAGCACAACAAGGCTGTTTCCCCTCTCTATTCCCTTCCTAGTAATTCCTACTGTTTTGCTTGCTTTTCAAACTGCTAATAAGCGTGGAAGTCCTACTTTCAGGTTACCCAGAACTGTTGATTTTGCTCTATTTAAAAGCTCCCCAAAACCCTGTGCAAAATGGAGATGTCCTTGAACCTGTCCTCTCAAGCAATGCAGCGAGGCAAAGCTGCAGCTTAAGAATAACAGACCACTTGTCTGCACAACAGTGGCTCATCACCTGGAGGAGTCGAGCCCTTTTGCTAAAAGGACCCATTCTCTGACCTGGAAACACTCGGTTCAGCCTACAGAAAGAACAAAGGGATTGACAATATGAGGGCAGAAGAGGTTTTCCCCTCCCAAAAATCATTGTCAGACTGAGTTAGCTCTCTTACCTTACCTGTCTCATGTTTACAAAGCTCTCAGTTACAAGTTATTTCAGAGAACTCTCTCCCCAGGGAGGACAGAATGGCACCATTCACCTGAAACACAATCCTGCATCAGCGGGTTCTCATCTCATGGAGATTTAGCTGCTCCCTGGGGGAGGAAACACTCAAAAAAAAAATAATCTCTCAAGAGAGAGGAGCTCTAGGAAAGTGTCTCAGCCTCCAAGAGGCACTGCAGGAGAGAGCAAGCTGACCTTGGAGTCCTACTGTTTTCTTTAGCAACAGGCCAAGCATTACAAAGAGGAAATGAACTTGAATTCTCAGTGGACTGTACTTCTTAGGCAAGCTGGGAAAATATTGGTTTCCAGGTTATTTTGCTACCTGCTTGAATGCTGGTGCTTATTATACCTTGAGATCTCCAAACACTGAGCAGAACTTGGTAGCTTGGAGAATGCTATCACAGCATGAATACTTTTATTCTTGCCTGGTATCAATATATATATACCTCATCCCTGAAAACAACATATCATCATTAGGAGCTACAAGAGCAGAGAAGGGAAGCTGAGGGTTTGAGGGCTTCCATCTGAGTTTTACACCACTATAGGGAAAGAGGAAGAGCAATCTAGCTTGTAACAAGAGCCACCACTGATGTTCATTGCTGGTTCTGCTGCTAGGTAACTGAGGCAGAGGAAATTACACATCCTGAAATGAAAACACCAGTCAAAAATCACCAAGGAACTGATCCTACAAGGACAGCAGCACGCAGAGCAGGGATGTTTCACTTAGACCATCCATCACACTTGTACTTGCCTCAGGTGACACGCATGCTATTCGATGGGAAGCTTCTCAGCTCGCCATGGTGCAAATGATCCTCTGGAATTTTTAGCAGCTTAACACTATGCTGTGTCTTAATTTAAGAAGTCAAAGCAACAACAATACTGGAAAGAGACACTGGCATGGCTGGCAAGCCAACCAGAACCATCAAAAGCACATCACTGTCACGAAATGAAGTCACACGTCCCTTACCTGGGGATTGTCTGTATGATGAAGATATCCTGACCCCGGACAGATTCTTTTATTTCAACTCTTGTTTCTGGAAAGGATGAAAAACCACAGTTTTATTCCCAGATGTCAGATTTCCAGTGAAAAGGCAACTTGGCCCACAGGGAGGTCAGCAGGAACTGCTCCTTTTTGCCACATGCATACAAGGGGAGCTAAGAGGATTTTCCAAAAGCCCTGGGAAGCAAGGAGCTGGCATCACAGACTGGTGAGCTAGCTATATTCACAGTGCTAAACCAGGCTAAAATGTTGTTACCATTACTTAACTCCTAATGAGAGATCCTTTTCATTTCTCTGTGCTCAATGCTGAAAGCTGTCAGTACCACATTCACTAGATATCAATGAACCATGCACAGAACATCCCCAGCAGTACCAGGAGGTTAACCTGGCTCGTTTGCAGCTGACAGGGCCAGCTGTGTGCAGGCTGGAGAGCCTACCACACCAGCAGCAGTGCTCACAGGGAGGTCTCCCCATCTTCACTACCAAGGAGAAGATATTTCAATGCTGACATGAGCAGGAAGTCTGCTGAAATCACTTCCTATAGCCCTCACTCAAAGCAAGAGCCCAGCCCTACAGCAGCTCAGCAGGGCCCAAGCAGTGACACCAGGTTTTCCAAGGGGCCCTCTTTAGCCACTCCTAACACACACAGCTGTGAGCCAGAGGGCAGGGATAAGTTAGAGGAGAGACAGATCTACCAAGCCAGAGAATTCACAGTCTAATCGCCCAGACATCTGCAGCAGCCTGAAGGGACTCTGATGAAAGGAGAGAGATCTGTTGTGCAGTGATGAGGAATGACTTCAGGCCTCCAAGCAAGCAGCCTGATTTAAAACTAACCCCAGAGGGCAGGAAACTCTCAGTAGCATGAACAGACAGCACGAACATCCCATCACAGCCACACACAGCTACAGAAGTTCATGCATCGCCTGCTTGTCCTGGCAGCCAGCATCCTCGTGCTTCAGCCCAGCAAGGATATCTGAAAATGGGCACTTGCTACACTTAAAGAGATGAAAACAACCTTCTGGAAGCACAGCTCCCAGCACGGCCACACACCTGCTCTCTTGAAAGAGAAACAGGTGCCATAACCTGCCTGCAGAAAGGGGAGGACTAGGAGTAGGGAACGACTGAAATTTTGCAAGGCAGACATTTAGAAAGAAGGCCATTACTTCAACCTGGAAGACAGTTTCCTAAGCACAACAGCAAGTATTCTGCAGCTACTAACAGCTGAGGGAGGAATCTATGTCAGATGAGACAGCTGACAGGCAGGAAACGAGGCCATATGGGAAATGAAGGAACACACTTAATTGGTTCACCTAAGGTTAGATGCAGAAGTTCAGCAGTAACATCACAGATGAATCACTGCACTTACCAGGCAGGTTTGGCCAACAGAGCCATCTATCTGTATGGCTAAAATGAGCCCAGAACAGGCTTGCAAGTACTAAAGAGTTCTCTTACCTCCATTGGTTTCCTGGTACACCACAGATTTCCCCAACTCAGCACCAAGACGCCTGGAGAGAGAAAAGGAAATTAAAACTGGAAGCACTGAGCAGATCTCCATGCAGAGCCCACCTGTGTGCACACTGACAAAGCAAAGCACTGCCTAATGAGGACCCAAACGTAGCAGCTGAGCTGCAGAGCAACACAGCTTCCCCATTCATACAGGCATGCACTCAGGGGCTCAGCTGCCTGAACACACGTCCTGTGTGACTGCTTTCCACCCACGTCAGTCGTTGACCCTTTGGGAGCAGCCCTGGTTGGGCCCAGGTTCCATCTGAGCAGCAGCAGCAGCCCTCTTTGATTTTGCTTAAATTTGTTTTTCAATAATGATTCATTTTGAAGAGAATTTTAAAACACTCTATAGTCCCAACTGTATCCTCAGGTGACACTCTGTATTTAACCCTGCTGACAAGTAATGCATTAATACCTATTTAGAGACAGGTGTGTTCACCACCAACATACTGCTGACCAACCAGTGGCTTCTGGACTCAGCTGAGCCCCAGGCTGGAAACCTCAGCCAGAAGCTGTCCTAGGAAGTGATGAGACCAGGACAGCAGTGACAACAGAAACTCCAACACAAACTCCAACACAACAACTGGCTGCACTGGTTACAAAGCACTTGGTGCTCATCTGGCAGCACGCTTTGCCAGGACTGAGGCTGGTGAGCAAATTCTACATGTGGGTGATTACCTGCAGACCCAGCCCAGGTCAGGGACCCACTGCAGCACATGCAGATGCTGTGCAGAGCAACAACTCCACCCAGACCTCTACTACAGCTTCTCTCACCAGTCCCACGCTGTGGAAAGCAGCAGCAACACAAAGCCAAGCCCTGGGATCTCCAGGACCGACTCTGTGTACATCAAAGGTGAAGTCTGCTCACAGACCTGCCAGACACTCCCTGTTGCCCCTTGGGATCCTGAAGTCCTGATAACAGCGGCACATTTGCAAACGTTAAGGTGCAGCCCAACCACTGCTAACAAATCCGAGTTGAAACAAGCTGGACAATCAAACACAAAACAAATCAGTGTGTGGGTAAACACTGAATGATTCACTTGTTCCTCCATGACCACACAGCACGTCTCACGAGCTCCCTTTGGAGGCACATATGCCCTCACTTCACTGCACGCTGCAGTGCTGGAAAAATCCTCCATTAAGCAGAACGTGCAGATGCCCTTAGTCAGCCCCACAGCCCATGACAGGAGGAAAAGCTTCAGGAACCATCCAGCTGGAAACACCTCTGCAAAACACCCCCCAACGGTGGCACATTTGTGACACGTGGTGAGGATGTAGCTGGAAAGATCCCAACCACGCTGGAGAAGAAACAAGAGCCCAGTGCTCCTCAATTCAAACAGCAATGCAGTTTCTGTGCTCCTGGAGCAAGAAACAGGAACGGCATGCTTGCTTTCTGATGGAAAGAGGGACTCAGAAAACAGCTCAGCTTATCAAAGCTGGATGCAGATAACAGCAGAAGAGACAGTAAGCAGCCGCCAACTGGCACAAGCAGTAGCAGATTGCTCTGGCCAGACAATAAATAAAATGTCTGCTCCAACTGTTGACTGCAAATAAACAAGAGAGGCAGCAATGGGAAGGATATGAGATAAAACTGTCCATAAAGTCATATATCAACCCTGCCTGCAGTGTTCTGCGATGATCTGAGCTGCAGACACAGCGAAAGGACCAACAGGCAGCTCCACAGTGCTCCAAGCTGAGGTGTGTTTACTCAGCAGCACACCTTTCCCTCCATCTGATGCAGAAGCTTTGCACAATCAGAGACTTCAGCCTAAGGAGGAGTCTGATAAAACCTAGACTTAGTCCAGGCTACTAAAAGTGGGGGGCTGGCCCTGCAGGTCCTGCTGTAAAGGAGCAAATTGCACGGGACATCAAAAGGAAGATGGACACAGGAGCCAAGGGCAGAGCACGCCTGCACCACCTGACAGACTCTTACGTGGTAAGAGACCAAAGAACAGCTTCCACTTGCCATCACCTCTCCCTTTTCAGCATCCACTCCCAGCTCCTTGCCCTCTAAACTGCCTCCCTGCAGAGGTTCACAAGCACTTGCTGCTTTAGGCAACAGAGGAATTAAAGCGACAGCAAAAGCTTCTGCACGTGGCTGCAGGAGCACAGCTCTGTGAACAAGGCTGTCAGAAACACCAGACCGAGGTGACCACACACACAGGCAGATCTCCACTAGGGAAAGCCACCACCACAGTTCATGGCCCTCAAAGCAGCAGAAAGCCACAGCTGGTTCTGCCTAAAAGAATACTTCAGACTCTGTAGCTACAACAGGACATCAGGCAAAATGAGGTCCATCAGCAAAAGCACTACGACGTGGTGCAGTGCTTGGCTGCAGAGAACCTTCTGCTGATACTCAAGTATTTAAGACTGGAAAATGGTCAGGCTGATTTCACGCTGCTTGCAGAAATCTCACTTGTGCTCTCATGCCTGCTGGCTCACAAGCACACTTTGGAAGCTCACTTCTCCACCCCAGAGATAGGAACTTGGTTTGGTGTTGGCCTTGCCTTTAAAGACAGCAGTCTTTAGAGGTGAGATGTGCTGTGTACAGCCCACCAAGAAGAGATGCTGCTGCTCCAGGCTGCTCCATCTTTTCAGGATTTTAATGCGATCTCCATTCAAGCACTCACAGCTCCTAAAAGGCAAAGCCTCCCTCCCTGCTGCCCTGCAGTCCTTGGACCAGCTCTGCCACTGACTGAGTTCCTCTGGGACCTGCTGGAATGCAAGAGAAAAATCTCTTTTTGTGGCTTTAAAAAAATATTTACTCAACACAATTAGTAAAAAATGTGTATTGATCTGTAATATCCCTTGCTATGATCCAACTTCCTAAAGTCTCAGCAGGTGCCAGGAGGATATTAAGCCGTGGACACAAGAGTGACTTTAAGACCTGTGTTCAGTGCAGTTTAAATGTGAACAGCCCAGAAGCCATTTGTTGTTCAATAAGGAAGAGACACACAGCAGGACTGCAGGTTCTACATCAGCCTTTAAAGAGCTCCACTGAAGGAGGTCAGAAACCACAGCACCAGGCTCCCGAGACAAAGGACAATCCATTAAAGAGACCTGATGAATCAAAACACGAGATGTAAATTCACTTGCAGGGCTTTGTTTCAAACTGAAGCAAATCCTTAAGGATCACAGACAACTTGTCCAGCTAACACAGCAGCAGTTCTGGGGTGCATTTCCTAACCTCTGCCTTCAAGGACCAGGGAAGGAAACAAAGCACCTTTCTGGATACACAGCAATCTGCTCTGAAACCATCTAACCATTTTAGCCTCTCTTACCTCTCTCCATCCACGCAGCACAAGTGGATTCTGGAACAGTTTATGCCATCCATCTGCCACTTGTACAACAGCACGTGCATCGTTTGCTCCAGCCGCTGCAAAAGCCATGCACACAGCACAGATTTTGCCCTGCTCTTGTGTGTTTCTGTGGACTGAGCAGCTCCCACACTTGGCACCAGCCAGCACACAGAGCTATCACACAGCCTGCTCAGCTGTGTTAATGCTGAAGTCACACAGATAACCTCAAAGCCCAACTCCATGCTCACCAACGCCCCTACTCCAGCACTGTGCCCCATCTCTAACTCCCCCCAACCACACTGTCTGACTGGTTGTTCATTTCTCTCTGCCCAAACAAAACCTTTGGTGCAGTGTTACCTTGCCACATCTATCAGCTCCCTGTCTCAGTGAGTGCTTCCGTGTCCAAGACAGAAAGGAGTTGGTGCCAGCTCCTCTCCTGACGCTGGATCGTATCGAGCTCTTTCCAGACAGTAAGAGCAGAGTCTGGAGACAGAGAGCAGGAGGATATCACTTCTCTTCCATCCCAACAAAAACGCTCCTTCCTTCAGCCAAAAAAGGTTACTGCAAGACCTCCTAACACACCATCTCTTCCAGAAGCAGGATCTGCCTTCAGCTCTGCCTCAGAAAGCACTGCACTTGTTTCACTGCTGCACACAGAGCTCTGTGACCAAAGATCAGGATAAAGGTCTCCATCTTTTCCTCATTAATCTGCTTTGCTGGGGTTTACAGTATTGCTCTCACCTTCAGACCACCACCATACTGTGTGCTGCACACAAATGCACGTGTAGAATATTCAGTGCCTGCAAGGAGTGCGTGACACCATGTCCAACACAACACAGGCCTGCAGGAGCAGTGGGGACACATCAGCAAGTTTCAATCCTCAGATCCACGCAGCAAGGGAAATGCAGTAGTTAGAGACCCCGTGTGCCAAACAGTGCAGCTAGAGGGAGATCTAAATTCATCTGCTACAGACTCCATGCTGGTAAGACCTCCCTCTCCCTCCCCAGCAGCACACAAGGTCCATCAGAGATAAGAACTATTCACAGAAATCATCTTTCTTCCTAGCAGATGCAGCTTGCAATCAGATGCCAAGCGTCCCAATTACAGCAGGAGATTTCCTTCCTCCAGGGAAAGGATTAAACAAAGAGTCCCAATCCATTTACAAGATTGGAGAAAACATAGGGTTTATTTATGTTTCAGTCATCCTGACTCCAAGAAGTCATCAGAATTCTCACAAAGCATTTGGCTCCCATGAGTCAGCACCAGCTCCTCTTCCTGGCAGAAACTAAACTAACAGAAACAAAAGCTCAAAACGAAAGCTGAAGCGAGCCTTTAGGCCTCACCCTACAGCCAGCCCAACTCCTAATATTGTGTGTTATTTTAAAGTTCTTTTACCATTTACACCGAAGGTCATTTAAAAAACTAACTTTTAAAAGAACGCACAATATTAGATGACAGACTCACCCTTACAGGACTGCTCCAACTCTATTAACAGGTGCAACCGACCCCCCAGCAACGTACGTGCTGGGAAGGGACACAGTGGGAAGCCAGAGCCAGCAGTCGCTCATCTTTTGCAACCTGAAAAAACAAGGGATGCATTATAAACGTGTTGAAACAGCTCCTGAGCTCTTAAGGGAAGTCAATACAAAACTACAGCACAAGAGGCTGAGAAATACCACTGAGTTTCTGGGAGACTTTGTTGTTGTTGTTGTTGTGGACAAATCCACATTATTCAGAGTTGCAGGTTTTGCATTTGTCTCCAACAAACCTCCTCTCACAGTGACCTCAGACACTTCCATCTGAGTGATAACTGTCCTCATTTTATGGACAGCAAGGATTTAAGCCCCACTTGAAGCACTACCTGTGCAACACATTCACGTGCTCATACCGCTGCTCAAGCATCCAGCGCCCTCACCACTGCTAGAGCAAGGCAGGGAGCCCATCTTGCCTCTGTCAGAAGTTCAGATCACGAGGCATAGCCAGAAGGTCACTCTGCATTCTGCTTCTGTTCAGCCTCAGAGCATCACTGGAAGACCTGCAGGAGATCACAGCCCCTAGCATGCCTGGGAGCACCTGTGCTTCCCTATGGCAGGGAGAAATTCCAGACGCTTAAAACCTCACGTATAACTCACTGGCTGACAGGGAGAAGTGAGTGCAAACAGAGCACGTCACGCAGCCAGCTGTGTGCCACAGCCTGAGGAAGCCTGCTCTGCGTCTTTCCACATTACATCTTTAGAGGAAAGTGAGTTATTTTTGAGACAGAGAGCGGAGAATAAAGATTGCCTCTCTGCTCTTTCAGTCCTGAGAACTTGGAGCTCGTCCCCTATCCCCAGGGGACTTCTGTTACTTCCCCCGTTGACGCAACAGGACAGGTCTTCCCACGTCCCATCTATTGCAGCAAGAATGTCTTCTTTTTATACAGATTTCATTTTCAGAGTTTTAACGGTGAAGGGAAAGCGATATGGAACTGACCAAATATAGCAAGAAAACAACAACAACCAACCAAACCCACCTGTGAACCAGTAACACCTTGCCAAGCACAAGGATTTGCCACCTCACCTCACATAAAGGAGCCTGTCGCTATTATCCAACACGTGTCCCATCAACACCAGTGGTCCCTGCCAAACAGCACAGTCAGCCTTGTGCAGATTACCTGTGCTACAGACTGAATGCACTGTTTGTTACGCTAGCTGGAGAAGCAGCAAGATGTTCTTGCAGTTTAAGGCAGCAGCACATCTGTATTCAGCACTATCTCCAGTTTGAGCAGGAAGCAGACAGCTGCATGGACAGCGGTAAGGATGCCATCCTCCACACCAGACCAACAAGCATAAAGGCCTTTTAATTTTGGGAACAGCCTCCTATAAGCCGTATCTGATCAAAAGCAGAAAGGAAACACATATCCAGCCTTAGAACAGCAGCCTACAAAAAAGAAAAACCCAACGCATCCCTGCCTCCCAGAAAAGCCCCCTCAGCAGGCAGTGCCCACCTGTTGGTCGCCCCAGTCCGAACCAAACAAACCCAACCCAAAAGTGTGAGTGGGATCCAGCTCCAAGCGCTGCACGGTGGGGAGCGTTGTTACAAACAGAGCGGGACCAGCGTGTAAATTTCTACCGAGCCGAGCTGAAAAGCAACGGCCTGCAAAAAAAGGGGCACGCTTCTACCCTCAGCTCCTCTTTGTCAGCATTTCCAGGGCACCAGAGCAACAAACCCCACTCCAGGCTGGGGCCGCACGTCGCTCTGCCGACAAAGCAGAGCCACGAGTCCCCGCGCAAAGCCCCGAGCCCGCGCTCACACCGCACGGCCCCGTAAGCACCGCACGCCGAATCCAGCTGCCCGCCCACCGCCCGCACCGCATCCGCACGGCTCTCCATCGCCTTCGGGGACGGCGCCACTCCACCGCCGCGCGGAGCAAAGCGCCTCCCAGCATCGCTTCCCCCCCCCCTCCTTTCCCAAACAGACACCGGCTCCACAGCTGGATGAACGCTGCCAGCACGGAGGGGAGGATCGGACCAAGTCTCTCCGTCCCACAGCCGCTCGGCACGGACTCGGGCTGCTGCCGGCTGCCGGCTCCGGGCTCACTTACTCGGTGATGCGCTTGGCCAGCTCGGTGCAGGCCGCCGTGGAGTTGGCCGAGAAAACCCGATAGCCGCTCCTGGCCGCGTTCATCGCCACAGCGTCATGCAGCCCCTTGGGAGCTCGGAAAGGAGGAAAAAGAGATTTATAAGGCAACAGCAGCTTCCGTGGCATCCTTTTCTTCCTCCCCGCCGCTATCGCCGCCCCCTGAGGGGTGGGAAGGAGGAGGAGAGAAGCCGTCCTGCCGCCCCACGGCGCTCCGCGGGCCATCCGCGCCGCGCGCCTCACGGGGCTCCTGCTGGGGGCTGAGGGGAGGCCGAAGGGCGGCCGGGGGGCGCTGTGCGCGGGGTCCCGCTCCGCCGCGCCGCCATTTTCTCCGCGGGGATCGAGAGAGAGAGAGAGCCCGCCCCCGGCCCGCCGCCATCTTGGGTGAGGGCACCGCCGCCGCGCTTCGCCCCCACAGCGGGGCGAGGGGTATCCGCTACTACGGCTCGAACGGAGCCGGTACCTGTGGAGGAGGAGGAGGGTAAGCACGGCGCGAGCTCTTCGGGCTTCACGCCCGTTTCGCAGATGCGGCGCCGCGTTCCGCCGCTTCTCCCACTCCTCCAAACAGCGCGAGGCACAGCCAGAGAGCTGCGGCAGCTTCGCTGCCCGCACCCAAGATGGCCGGCGGAAGCGGCTTGAGGGCGCTCTACGCGCACTCTATAGCCGGGAAGGCGGGGCGTGGTGCTCGGTCCTCCACGCTCCTTGTGCTGCCTGCGGGAGCGGCCGCAGAAGGGCGGAGTTTCGCTGCTCAGAATCTTGACGCGGTCCCAAAACTCAGCAAGACCTTTCGGCAAGTCCCCCCAGCCCCTTGCTGGTCCTCCATCCGTGTTTTAGCCCAGCATGGCCCTTCCCTGCTCTGTGATCCACTTCCGCCGCCCGTGCACCCCCTGAGGCCCTCCTGCCTCAGCCCCACACGGGGACGTGGTGACTGCAGGCCTGCTCTGAGCACAGTGCGGCTCCAGAGGGGTGAAAAGGCAGCAAACACAGCGCTGGGGGGTCCTGAGCAGAGCTGGGGGGCAATGGGCAATGCTAGGGGGGAGAGGGGGGGTTCTGATCTGTGCTGGGGGGAAATGGGCAATTCTGGGTGGTCCCAAACAATGCTGGGTGGGTGTGAGTGGTGCTTGGGGCATCCTGAGCTGTGCTGGGGGGGAATGGGCAATGCTGGGGCGTCCTGAGATGTGCTGGGGGGGAATGGGCAATGCTGGGGGGTCCTGAGATGTGCTGGGGGGGAATGGGCAATGCTGGGGCGTCCTGAGATGTGCTGGGGGGGAATGGGCAATGCTGGGGGGTCCTGAGCTGTGCTGGGGGGGAATGGGCAATGCTGGGGTGTCCTGAGATGTGCTGGAGGAGAATGGGCAATGCTGGGGCGTCCTGAGCTGTGCTGGGGGGGAATGGGCAATGCTGAGGGGTCCTGAGATGTGCTGGGGGGGGTGCTCCTGAGCAATGCTTAGTGGCCCTGAGTGATGCTGGGTGAGAACAGGCTGTGCTGAGGGGGCTCTGGGGGAGAACGGGTAGCGCTTGCGTGTTCTGAGCAATGCTGGGTGGCCCTGAGTGGAGCTGGGGGGGTCCTGAGAAGAGCTAAGAGGGGAATGGGCAATTCTGGGGGGTCCTGAGCATTGCTGAGAGCCACGCGGTGCTTACTGTGGGAGCAGCCTGCTCTGCTGTCCCCCAGGTGGTTCCCATTGCAGCCTCTGAGTCAGCTCCCAAATATGCCTTTGCTCATCCCACTACAGGAAACCGCTGCTGGGAAGTGGTGGAAGCGCTGCCACAGCCCTGCATCTGGGGGAGAGGGGGGAGATGGAGCGGCCATGCTTGGATTCCAGCGCTCCGGTGCTGGGCTGTGCTTGGTGGGGTGTGTGGGAGCGCAGGGAGGTGACCTCAGAAATATTTCTGTGTAAGTCATCAGCTGTGGGAATGAGCTCAGCTCGCTGCCTCGCCAGGGTGATGTGTGAGCGCCGTGCTGCTGGGCTGCACGGGGATTCCTGCTGGGATTGAGGAGCTGCTCAGGTTCCAAAGGCTGAGAGCCCTCCTGGGCCAAGCTCTGGTCTCCAGTACAGCTTTTCAATCCAGGTGCTGTCCCTACACAGTCACAAGAATTTCCCGGTGCCCTGCAGCAAAGCTGGTAGCCCCAAGCCCGGATCCTGCAGCCCCAAACCTCGTGCGATTCCATCCCCTCCTGCTCTAGGCCTGCTCCTGGTGTCCCCAGCTTGGTTCATCCCCTGCTGGAAGCTTCCCATTGCAGCACCTGTCCCCCTGCCAAGACCTGCAGCCTGGCCAACCCCAGTGCAGCACATCACTGCTATTTCTGGCTCCACCTTGAGACTCGTGCCGTGCTGAAAGAAACCAATGCGGGCTGAGCAGGCGTCGGGAGCATCTGGGACACAAATGGCTGCAGTTCCCACTGCACACAGCTCCCACAGGCTCTGTGCAGCAGGCAGAGCTCCACATCATGCCTTACACCAGAGGGGGGAGCAGTGGGGGGGGCAGTGGGGATCTGGTGCTCTCTGCATTTTTTCCCCAAAGAAAACCATCTCACTCGCCGCCTGGGAGCAGGAAGAGACCGGGGACAGCACAGAGCAGAGATGGGTTTAATTGCCGTGTATAATCCTCAGATTCTTGCACAGATCTGGGCAAATCTTGTCTGCTTCTCCTGCCTCAGTTTCCCCAAGTTGAGCATCCTGCAGCCCTCCAGCAGGGAGCAGGGGGTGCCCGAGCTGATGTCTGCATGGCAGGGGGATACACTGTGAGAAATGTGTGATGATGGGGACCAGCCCCTGCGGGGCCACCTCCCGGTGGGTGGGGATGAACCCAATGCCCACACATTCCCAAGCACTGAGATCCTCCCGTGCAAGGGAGCGCGTGGAGGTTGCTGTCATTCAGATGACCCCAGTCAGCACCGAGCCGTGATGGAAGCAATCCCATGTCTGTACCGAGCCCTGTGTCTGGGGGCAGACAAACGGTGTCTGTGCGGGATGCTGTGGAATCGGCCGCGGGGGGAGATGTGCTGCTTCCCCACGGCACGTGGGCAGGACAGGGGCCGGCAGGCGGAACCCCATTCCCCCACCGCACAGCACAGAGCTCACTCCCACCGAAGCCCCAGACGCTCCCACCTGCCAGCAGCCGTTCTCATTTCCTCCCTCCGCGTCCCGTGCTGAGCGGAAATACAACGTTTGTTAGTCACCAGGAAGGCTGGCAGCGTGCGGCTGCTTCCTGCACCGGCACCGTGCGGGCTGCGAGCTCCGACCCGCGGCACAGCCCTCCCTTCCCCCAGCACTGCGCGGCTCTCGGATCCGCACCCCCCCAACCAAGGGCCGTTCCGCCCCGCTCTGCCTTTGAGCAGGAAAGCGCCGAGCATCGGAGCCCGCTGTGGGGCTCCTCTGTTTTTAGGTATCCCGATAAAGCAAAAGCCGGTCAGCTCTGCCGTGTGCCCGTCTGGGTGTTCGTCCCCCGTCCTCCCTGAATCTATAGGGTGGGTTTCACTGGAGTGAGAAGGCTGCTGGAAGTGGGAGGAGTATTGTGTCCTGCTGCTGGGAGTTAGGGGGTGTGCGCTGGGTTTGGCTCTTTGTTCAGGGTTATGGGGTCTGTGCTCAGGGTTACGGGAGTCTGGGCTTAGGGTTGTGGGGTCTGGGTATGGGGTTGTGGGTCTGTGCTGTGTTACGGGGTTTGGGCTCAGGGTTGTGGCTCGATGCTGGGTCACGGGGGTTTGGGTCACTTGGGGTTGTGGGGTCTGGGCTTGGTGTTACGGGGTCTACGCTGGGTCACGGGGGTTCGTGCTTGGGGTTGTGGGATCTGGGCCGGCTCGCGGCACCCGTGCTCGTGGTTATCGGTCTGACTGCCAGCACAGCAGCGCAGGGCGGAGGGCACCCGCGGGGCAGAGGGCACCTGCAGGCGCAGGACGGCGGGGGCCGTGCCGGGACGTCCCGCACCTCGGCCGGGATCCCTGGGAGCCGCCCTCTTCCCCCTCCCCGCCCCTCGTAGGGCAGCCCTCGGGGAACCCGAAGCCGGGCGGCGGGCTGCGCGCGTCGGGGGGGTTGGGGGTGTTGTGTTAAATGGGGCCGCCTCCTGCCATTGCCGAGCAGCGCGCCGGGTGTCAGCAGCGAGCAGCGGCGGGCGGCGCTCCCGGTGCGTGCCGGCCCCGCTCCGCGCTCCGATGGCCGCCGGCCGCCGGGTTCCCCCGCACGGCGACGGCGGTGCGGTGCTGCTGCGGGGCCGCTTCTCCCCGGGATCGTCTCCCGGTTCGGTTTCGTGGTCCGTCGCTCTGACCGAACGGGAGCTGCAGGTGCTGCGTCCCGGCGGCCCCGACGCGGCGCTCCGTTTGGCCGATTGCGTGGGCAGCGCCGCGTTCCCGTCCGGCCCCGCCGCCGCCTGCTTCTCCCTCGTGGGTTACCCGTTCCGTAAGGCCCGATGGGGTTCCCCCGCCCGGCAGCGCCTGCAGAGGACTTTCCGCGTTTCCCAACACCCCGACGCCGAGGAGAATCTCCGCATCGCCCAGGCCTGGAGCCAACGCATCCGAGAGCTCTCGCTGCCCGCAGCGCCCACGCGGGACGGTGAGAAGCGGCGGTGCTCCGCGCGTGGTTCGGGGCGGGGGCCGGGGGCTCGGGGGGGGCGATGCGGGGAGAAAAAGTTTCCCGGTCGGCGCGGCTCCGCCGTACCGCCTTGTGCCCCCACGGACAGCTGGGGGGTGGGGGTCGGAGCCCTCCCGTGTCGGGGCGTGCGGGGATTTGGGGAGCGGGAGCGCAGCCCTGAGGTGTCGGGATGGGGAGAGGGGTTGGGGGACGACGCGTGGGACGGAACCCGCGTATGCCCCCCCCCTCCGCCGGCCCTATGGGAGGGGGACGCTGCGCGCCGCACCGTGAGGTCCCTCCATCCGTCCCCGCTTTCCCCTTTAAAGCAAAAGGGCGGCGCGCAGCGCGGGGCCTTTTTGCCCTGTCCTCGCCGCCTCCTTCCAGCGGTTTAATGAGTAGCGAAGCTTTAACAAAAGCGGCGTCCGTAGGGGGGAAAGTCCGCCGCTGACACACGGAGCGCAGCGCCGGGGGGGCACAGAGCTCCGTCGTCCCCACCCAGCCCGGAGCCCCGCGAAGGGGCAGAGGATGCAGGACGTCCCCCGGTGTCCTCCGGCCGCGTTGGAGCAGAGATTGAATCCCTCTGCAGCGCAGCGTTACCGCGGCCGCCTCGCTTTGCTCAGCGGAGCCACGGCTCCGGTGGGTGGGAGGGATGCTGTCACATCGCTCTCCTGCCCGCGTTCTAAAATGCAGCCTTTTCGCGTGAGCCGCAGCTAGAAAGCAGCTCGCTGCCGCTCTCTGTAAATAAGAACAAGCGAAAAAGCCGAGGCCCGATGTGGGAGCGGACGGCCGCCGGGCTCCGGCGCTGCTGCGCGGTGGGGCTGCGGCGCGGCGGGGCGGTGCGGAGCGCTGCCGAGGGACGCAGCGGTGCGAGATTTGCAGCTCTCCGCTCGCCGGGGATTTACGAACCTCCTCCCCCGGTTCAGAGCTGCGCTACGGACGCCTCTCGCCACGCCCCGCGCTCGCCGTGCTGTGTGCGGGGCAGATAAGGGCGCCGGAGTGCGGGGCGATCGGGGCACCCCGTGCCTGCAGCGGGGGGCAGCCGCCCCGCCCCACCGCACCGCAGCGACATCCTTGGGGACGGAGCCCGTTTCTCCTCCTGATGGCCCCCAGGGATGAAAGATCCCCCGGCGACGACTGCGTGGGGGGTGCCGGCCCCGTCCTGCCCTATGGAGTCGGTGGGTCTGATGGGGTCACCCGCAGGCTGGTCCCGACACGTCGGCTCCTCATGCACTGCGGCGGTTTGTGGGACGATGTGGCAATTCGTGTGCCGTGTGTGGGGCACGTGGGGTGGGGGCAGAGCGGTGCCCCTTCCTCTTGCTGACGCTGCATCCACCCCCCCCCCACAGCCCACAAAGTGCCGGTGCCGTGGAAGGGAAAGGGACAATGCGGAGATCCACCCCGCCTGCCGCGGGGAGAGGGGAGAAAGCCCCCATCAGCCGGCTGTGGGGCTGCATTCACCCATAGGGGATTCGGCGTCTCCAATGCGGCCGGAGCGGTGCAGTGCTGAGCTGCGGCCATCGCTGCGGGCAGCGCCCCGAGGGCGGCCGGTCCGTCCCGTCCCATCTGCTGCCGGCTGATAAGGAGCTGGGCAGGGCAGGGGACATCGGGTGAGGGCCAGCGCCGGAGCCAGGCTGCAGGACAGGGGAACGGCTCCGTGCTGCGCTCTCAGGTTGTGTGCAGCCCCGGTGGCCTTTGCCCTGCGTTCATCGCGTGTTTCTGCACTCACGGCTCCGGGCGAGTGGAGCAAGGGGCTTCCCGGGCTGTGCTGTGCTGTGCTGGGAAACGCTGTCAGCATTCGTGACTCACTGCTGCTGACGGAGCGTGGCTGCGTGCCGTCAGTTGGCAAAACCTCAGCCCTGCGGAGCCCCCCAGAACCTGTGTTTGTTGTCTGGGCCGTTGGGCTCCAAGGAGCTGTGGCACAACGGCAGGGCAGGACCCACAGCATCACGGTGCTGTGCCCACACTGCGTCCCTCTGGTCCTCGCACGGAGCCCGCGGGGGCTGCTGGGTGCCATGGGGTCACAGCAGTGCTCGGGGAGGGCATGGAGTGACCGCTGCTGGGGACGTGGGGACAGCAGGGAATGGAGCAATGACAGCCCGCACCAGCCCTGTAATTACAGCCCGGATGGGGCCTGCGTGTGCGAAACCTGAGCCCCGTGGGGAGCGAAGCATCCATCTGCCAGCACAGGTGTCCGTGCTGGCCCTGCTCCAGCAGGGCTGGATGTGGGCAATCAATAGCTTGACCCCTCCCCAAAGCCCCCCGCCCTTGGCTCACTGCGCAGGGGACCCCCACATCTCAGCGCAGACCTCCTCTAACCCCCATCAGCGCTCCGTGTCCCTTAGGACCATAGCAGCTGCTCACTAAGCCCACCAGCCCCTTCGTGCTGACCCCCTGCTCCCCCCAGGTGCCAGCTATGGGGTGCTGCCCCGGCCCTGCCGAGCTCTGGTGCTGCTGAACCCGCAGAGCGGCGCTGGCCGCGCGCTTGAGGACTTCCAGGCAGTGGTGCAGCCCATGCTGGCTGATGCTGACATCACACCCACCGTCTTTGTCACTGGTGAGTCCTTGAGGACCCTCCTCCTGCCCAGCACCCACCTGGGATGGGCTCCTATGGGGCTGCGGTCACCATGCAGGGTGGCAGCGGGCGGATGACTCGGTGTTCTCACTTGCACTGCAGAGAGACCCCACCACGCCCAGGAGAAGGTGCAGGATGAAGACCTGTCGCAGTGGGATGTGCTGGTGGTGATGTCTGGGGATGGTCTGCTGCACGAGGTGAGCGCCTGCTGTCACCCCATGGCCAGAGCTGGGGGCAAAACAGGGGGAGATGCGGAGACGGAACCCTGCTGGAAGACACTGGGGTGGCACAACCTCTGCTGAGGGCACTGTGGGGTCACTGGGGTCTTTGTGCAGCCCCACGTACCACCAGCTGCCCCCCCCCTTCCTCCTGCAGGTGCTGAATGGGCTGATGGAGCGGCCGGACTGGGAGCAGGCCCTGCAGACACCGCTGTGCATCCTGCCTGGGGGCTCTGGGAATGCCCTGGCTGCCTCCATCAACTACTATGCAGGGTGAGTGGGGTGGAATGGGGACACCAGCCCAGCATGGTTCATCCCTGTAGAGCACAGGGGAAGCTGGAGCTTTCTCCTCTCCAGGCCTTGAATGTGCCACATTTTCACTCCAATGAGCTCCGTGGCTGATCCTACTGCACAGTCACATAGCACAGGGGTGGGACTGGGGCTGGCCCAGCAGTCCCATAGCATCCTCCGGGTTGGGAAAGACCTCAGTGGGAACCATACCCAACCATCAGCCTCGGTGCATCAGTTCCCTTCTGGGAGCTGATTTGTGCTTCTCCTAGAAGCTGTCCCCAGCAGACACCGTCATCATCTGGGACGTGTCCCAGCCGTGGCACAAAGGCAGCGTCCTTAGGGGGGGTCACAGCCCACGCTCACCCTTCTCTGCCCCCCGCAGCAACGACCACGTGGCCAAGAAGAAACTGCTGACCAACTGCACCTTCATCCTGTGCAAGGGGCTGCACGCTCCGATGGACCTGGTCTCATTGAGCACAGCCTCAGGCAAACGCTTCTTCTCCTTCCTGGGCTTCGGATGGGGTTTCATCGCCGACGTGGACATTGACAGTGAGAAGTACCGGCGGCTGGGCAACGCACGCTTCACGCTGGGCACGCTGCAGTGCTTGGTTCGCCTGCGCGTCTACCAGGGCCGCCTCTCCTACCTGCCTGCAGCCACCGAGCCGGGCAGCGCCAGGGACCCCGAGCCGCGCCGGGCCGCACCGACGGCGGGGACGGAGGCGCCGGGCGGGGACAGGGAGCCGCTCGCCGACGCGCTGCTGGCGCCGCTGGGGCAGCCGGTGCCGCCGCATTGGGTCGTGGTGCCCGAGGAGGAATTCGTCTGCGTCTACGCCATCTACCAGTCCCACCTGGGCACCAACCTGCTGATGGCTCCGGCGGCGCGGCTGCACGACGGCTGCATGCACCTCTTCTACGTGAGGGCCGGCATCAGCCGCGTGGCGCTGCTGAAGATCTTCCTGGCCATGGGCAGAGGCACGCATCTGGAGCTGAACTGCCCCCACCTGCACTGCGTCCCGGTGCGCGCCTTCCGCCTGGAGCCGCGGGGCAGCGCCGGCATCATGACGGTGGACGGGGAGGCGCTGGCGTGCGAGCCGGTGCAGGGGCAGATCCACGGCCAGCCGTGCCGCGTGGTCACCGGTTCCTAGGGCCGGCAGCGGGCGCGCAGCCCTCCTCGCACTCAGGAACCTCCTCTTCCAGCAATAGCTCCCCGCGCCCGCGGGCGCTCGGCCTTTTGCTTAGCTTTACCCTCCTGGGGACGGCGCCGTCCCAGGAACGAGCCACGAGCCGCGGCAGGTACTCGAGTGCCGGCTCCGTCCCGGTGCCATCGGTACGACGTCCCGGTCCTGGGCGGCTGCGCCGGCACAGCCTCGGCCCCAGGTTCGGTGGCACCGCCCGCGTCCCCGCCGGGCTGAGCCAGGACCAACGATCTACCGGCAGACATCAATCATTTGTTGGTTTGTTGGTTTTGTTTTTTTTTAAAGAGTGTTTCTACCCAAAGCTTCCCGTAGAAGCAGAGTTTATTCTTGTGAGAAATGCAATAAATATTTAGCGTTTGCAAAAAAAAAAAACACCAACAACAACCCAAACCCAACCCAAGGACGCAGCCTGGGCGTTCGGTGCCCGCAGGGGGGGAGGTGAGGCTGAAGGCAGCCACGGGGAGCCCGCATCTCCCCCCACAGCCCAGCGAGGGGCCCTTCCCAGGAGCTGCGCTGGGGCGGATCACAGCCTTCTCGCGGTAATTACAGCTCATTTGCTGCTCTCAGCACAAAGGAGGGCAAACCGCACATTTATTCATCTACAAAGCATGCAATTAGGATGGTGGGAACGGAGAGAAGAGCGCGGCTGTTCTCCCCAAAGAGCCGGGGGTCCCAGCACAGCCTGCAGGCAGGGGCTGAACGGGGGGGGGAGGAAAAGAAAAGAGACCGACAGCCCAAACTACTCACAGAGGCGGAATTTAATGGCAAGTCATCTTCCCTCCTTTATTACACCTCGGTTAGCCAAACCACCACCAACAAAAAAATAATTCTGCAGGTAAAAAAAGTTTTAATGGTCACACAGCACTTTATACATATATCGGTAAGCAACCAAGCATCCACATCTGCACGTGAACGACACACCTCTAAGCATGGCCTCAATGGTCGGGTCTGGTTTGGTTTTGTTTTCTTCATTTAAATACTGTACAGAATTCAAAGGCTACAAACTGATTTCGTAATGCTTCTCCCCCAACCCCAGCACTTAAAACAGTTACAGGCTGCTCGGATTTGTACATCACACAGTCGTGTAGCCAGTTTTAAGGCTAACAATATGCATCATCATGCTTTGGCTTTTTTTTTTTTCTTTTTAATTATTATCATTATTATTATTAATTTTTTTTTTAAGGTTTTAAGCCTTTTTTTTTTAACTTTTGTTACCCTTAAATATTACATACATACACGAAAAAAAAAAAAATTACATAGCTGCAGTGTGCTCACCACCAACCTGGTCACCAGGGAGCTTCACATTATCAAAAGCTTAGAAAATCTGTAAACCTCCGTGCTGTGGTGGGGGCTGAGCCCCCCTGCAGGGCAATGCCTGCTCCCGGGGGGGCCCTGGGCCAACGCTCTTTGCTGATCATCAGTGGAAGAGAAAGCGATGGGGAAAACCTGGCACCGGCCTCTCTGAGCAGCTCACGCTGCCCCCCGTGGCAGCGTCGCGTTCTGGAGGGTGAGAGCAAAGGGACGCGGAGCTGTGCCAGCAGTCAAGCTGTGGCCATGGAGGGTTTTTCTCCCTCTGACCAAAAGCACTGGGTGCCGGCTCCTTCCCAGGGGGTGAAGGACAGCGCGGGTCGGAAGCACAGCAGGGAGATGCTGAGAGCAAACTGCTGGGCTGGGTGTCAGAAGGCCGCGTCCAGGCTGGGATGGAGGGAATGCAGCAGTGCTGACAGAAAGGGATCTGCCTCCATCCTTACTGCTGAACTCTCCCAGCTCTCCACAGCCTGACTGCTCCTGTGGGTGCAGCAGCGTTGATGTGAGCTCCCCAGCTCCAGAAGTGAACGTTAAGTGCGTGCACACAAAGGCTCCAGCAAGGCACCCAGGCTGCTGCTCCTGCAGGTCGCTGCTGCAAAGTGCTGAAGGTCACCGGCTCCATCAGTGCTGTGCTGCCCTGCCAGCTGTTTCCCAGAGGCCCAGCAGCAGTGTAGCAGCACACAGATAGGATGTGCTGTGCCCACAGCCCTACCAGCCACAGCAGGTTCGGGCAGTCGCAGGAAACAGTTGGCTGGGGGGGGGAAAGAGCAGCAGCCCGTGCCAGTGTGTGATGTGCTCCAGTTACTGGCTGAGGAACCACCACAAAGCGCTGCTCCCACAGGAGTCGGCCACACTGCATGAGCTCCTGTCCTACGGGTGGCCCTGGCTCAGAAAGGCCCCCAGCCCCAGCAGCAGCAGGTGATGGAGAGGCAGCAGATGTGCCGTGCTCCCCCCCAGCCAGGCAAGGCTGAGAGCTGAGGTGCACCCAGTGCTGCCAGGGAGGACCGAAGGGAAGATTCAGACAGCTGAGCAAGAGGCAGAACCCCGCATCTCGTGTATTTCTAGAGGACAGGCATGCATGGTGGGGAGAGGGAAGTCCGCCTTACTCGGAGAATAGACTGTGGATGGTGGAGCTGATTCCAGAAGAAAAGAGCAGAAGTCGCAGGAGCAGATGGAAACCCCACGGCACTACAGGGCAGCACAGAGTTCTGGTTCTGCCCATTCAGTTCTGATCAGAAGAACCTCATAGCTATCGGTGAACGACTACGACTAGAGCAACTCCGTACGGTGCAGACAACTTCAATGCAAACAATCCAACGTCTGAGCTTGGGTAGACTTCAGAAAACCCACGGTAATGCAGAGAAAAATGAAAGAGGGCAGCGCCCTTCGCTTCCAGATCCTACAGCAATCGCTTCTGGCTCGAACCCCAGCAGCAGAATCCGCTGGGTGGGAAAAGTCTGCGTGGAAAGGTGCCCCAAGATGAAAGTGCAGAGGGAACGTGGCTGCAAGATGCTTCTGTGCGGGTCTCCGATCTTACCACTGCAGGGTCAAACTCGCAAGAGGAGCACGTGTGTGGGGCAGGGGGAAGGAAGGAGGGCTGAGGGCAAATTCATGCGTAGACAACCTTTCCTCGGAGGAGCAAATCAGGCCTACCACCTTCTTTGGAACAAACCAAGCTGAGGAAGAAAAGCTGGAAGGAGAAGCCAGTTTACTGGTAACAGCATTTGCCAATTTCCTTTCTGCTGCTTTCCCTTCTCCTCTGCACCTGCCTGTCCCTAACCCGACGGTCTATTTCTCCTCTGTCCACTCTGGGATATTGGCCCCTGCTAAGGCAGCCCGGTACTGCTGCAAGACACCACGGATGCTTTTAATGAACCCCTTGGACAAAGGGAAGAGGGGGAACCCAATATCGGGGTAACCGCTCTTCTCCGGAAGGAAACTCCTGTAGCTCTTCCTCCTTTTCTTTGGTTTGACGCTTGGCTGCGCGGCAGAGTCCTGGGCAGCCTTCCCCTCGTCCGTTCGGTCTCTGGCCAGGTCCACCCCCCTGGCTCGGCCCGCGCCCTCCGAGTCTGAGCACTGGTGGACGTCGCCGGCGTTGGGCGCCGAGGTGGCGAATTCCGCCTCGTCCAGCTCCTCCTTGCCATCCGGCGCCGAGTCGGAGAATTCAGCCGCCGCTCCCAGCTCCGCTCCGCCGCGCTCCCCCCCGTTGTCTCCGGGACTCTCGGCCAAGGCGCTGCCCGCAGACAGCAGGGAGGCAGAATCCGCCCCGTTGCTCTGCTCGTGGCTCTTTTCCACCAGCTCGTTGGTCTCCAGCCAGGACTCGATGCGGGACACCAGGCGCCAGCCGTTGCAGCGGAAATGCTCGCGGATTTCGTGCTCGAAAACCTCCACGGGTCTGCGCAGCAGCTGCATCATGGACTGCACCACCCGGATCAGAGTCATCTCGTTGTAGCAGCGGCTGTTCTCGTAGCCCTCCTGAAGGCCCCGGTCGCTGTCGAAGCCTGCCTCGTTGTAATAGGGCTCGTTCACTAGGATGAGACCTGGCAAAGGAAACGGAGGGCAGCGGGTTAAAGGAGGGCCGGCTCTGCTGACGGGCGCCCACAGCGCATCGCTGAGAGGCAAATCCAGCACAGGAAGGACCGAAGGAGAAGGCGCGAGGGAAGCTGCGCTTTGGTTCCTGCCACCTGCTTTTGAAGGCAGGCTGGACAAACAGGATTCTGCCAAATGCACTGCAATCACAGAACGGCCCAGGCTGGAAGGGAACTCAAGGATGATGAAGCTCCAAGCCCCCACCACAGGCAGAGCCACCAACCTCCACATTTCATAGCAGCCCAGGCTGTCCAGGGCCCCATCCAACCTGGCCTCCAACACCTCCAGGGATGGACGGGGCATCACAGCCTCTCTGGGCAGCTGTTCCAGCACCTCACCACTCACAGTAAAGAATTTCCCCCTGACGTGCAATCTCAATCTTCCCTCCCTCAACTTCAAACCACTTCCCCTTGCCCTGCAGTTATCTCCCCTTCCAAAGAGTTGACTCCCCTCCTGTTTGTAGGCTCCCTTTAGGTACTGCAGGCTGCAATGAGGTCACGTCACAGCTTTCTGTTCTCCAGGCTGAACAAGCCCAGCTCCCTCAGCCTGTCTTTGTAGGAGAGGTGCTGCAGCCCCGATTATCTTCATGTGAACGGCTCTGCAGCCTTCTGTTCACACACTGAGGATCCCAGACAGCACCAAGAACAGCATTGAGGAGACAGCTTCCACTGGTGTGACGCAGAGGGCACACAGCAGCAGAGGAGGTCAAAAGGGTGGAAGGAAAAACATTTCACAACGACTTTCCCTCTATTCTTAGCAAAAAAAGAACGCAAACGTAGCCCATACGTTTTCTAAAAAATGTTCTTAAATGCATTTTTTCCCCACTCCACCTCTTACTAAGAAGGGAAGCCATACTTTGACCTGACCATCCTGCCCAGTATCGTCCCACCAGGGCAGCACAGAACAAGGAACAAAGCGACAAGCCACCCACAGGGAGCTTTCTCTGCCTGCCTCTGCCAGATTGCAATGCTGTGTAGGTAGAAACGACACTGATATTGCCATGCTGCTGGCAGCCTGTCACAAGCTGCCTTAGAGCTGGTGGAGGTGACAACACGAGTCTCTCCAAGACCAGGCAGCAGGAGGGAGGGTGGGAGATTTTCCACTATCACCACGTTGCTCCAGTGAAACATTCAGTAGTTCAGCTTCTAAATTTGGATGCTCAGCTCTGTAAATGAGAAAAGGCTTTTGTTGTGGCCCCCCAGCAGGAGGGCACGGGCAGCTGGGAGGCTGTGCAGGAGCAAGAGTCCCCGTGTGCTCCAGGCAGCAGCCTTTGTTCTGTGTCAAAGATTTCTCAAGTCACATTCCTGGGCTCCCTGCATAGAAAGTTGGCCGTAAGGTGGAGAATTGATTTAGACTGTCTGCCTCCAAACTGGATATTATAGGGCAAAGCTCTACAACAGGAAGCCCTGGGGCCGGTCTAGACACACCCCTGATTATTCTGCTTTAGGAGTGTAAACACCAACATCACCAGC